GTTGAGCAACGTTTCTTATTTCGGATCGATTCAGACCAGCGATTGATTTTAAAACTCACCGCTCTCCACCAGCAATAAAGCAGCGTGCGTATCACAACAGCCCATAGCATTTCTCCGCCAACGTTTCATTGGCATATTCACGTAAAACGCATCATGTGTTTCACCTTTGGACCTAGGACTTAATGGCCACACATCATGAACTCGTGAGAACAGAGGAAGGCGCGACATATTTGTTGCATTGACTCGCACTGTGTCATTTTAATGTTCTGAATCTTAACAGAGCGTGCGGGTCTAGTCTACCCCATTGTAGCGGCGTTGAGCCGCTTACTGGAGTGTCGCCGTCTAGGTCACTGGGGCTGTCGAACGTCCGCCACAGGAGCGCCCGGGCGTCTGACACAGAAGGGGCCTCGTGTCGGGGACAGAAGCGGACGTAGGGCACAGGAAAGGCCGCGTGTTCGTCGCTGGACTGGCCGCGTGCCGACACGTGAGAGGCCGCATTTCGGTACAGCAGCAGCCGTCCAGCACCAGGATGGCTGTGTTTCCGACGCAGGAGAGCCAGTATATCTGACACAGGAGAGGCCGCATGTCTGGCACAGGAGAGATCACGTGTCCAGCACTGGAGTGGGTTCGTGTTCGGTACTAGGTCGGGCTCACGTTCGGCAGTGGCGCGGCCCGCGTGTCTGACACAGGAGAAGCCGCTTGTCCGACGCGGGAGTTGGGAAGCACTGATACCGAGCTACACAGCGCTTAATCCTAGCCCTGATTAGCCGTTTTTCATGACGAGGACTGATAGGGGGAAAGTGGAGGTTAATGCCATCCGCTACCGTTTCCAAACTAAGACAGATAGGGTCTCTCAGAATGAAACAGACGATGGGGTTGAACAACACCTTATGACTAACAATAAGTTGCATATGGCGTGGTCAATAATAGGCTCTGCTATGCCAAGTTAAAGGTCAAGCTTTCCTGAAAGTCGACTTTTTTAGCTTCACACGCCCTTAATTACAAGGTCATACCCCGCAGTGACACAACATTTAAAACGGCTTGTTTCTACACACACTTAGACGTGGGCATTCGATAATGCGAGAGTGCTGTGTGCATCGTTAGATCCCGCCCGTCGTCCGTGCTAGCCGTGGATCGCCGTGCAGTGTTATTGAAAGCCAGTAGCTTCTCAGAAGCAAAATTGCTAGGGGCACGCTTTTGATGTCAAAACACGCGCAATAAATCCACGAAGGAAACAAAAACTTTGCACGCGATTGGACGGCATACAAGAAGAGTATGTTCCGAGTCTCTGGGGGGGGGGGGGGGGGGGGGGAGGGGGGGATACCAAGCTGATCGCTATCTTGAGGCGCTGGACGTTATGCACAATCTGTCGGCCTCGCACCTCAAGCGTATCCACGAGACCCGACTTATCGCGGATCCAAAATCACGTCAGCTGTTGCCCGAAACGCGTTTAACGGCCAAATCCTTATTCCATTGTGCTAAATTACAGAGGCTGGTGAACGCATTTCTAATCACTTCAAAGCCTGACTCTGCACTGGAGACTGGGTGATCCCAGTTTGAATAATCGGAACGAAACTGCTGATTGCCTGGCTGGGCAGTGACAGTGCAGGGCAGTCAGCCACCACCACGGGTGTCTTGATGCCAACCACGCCCAGGCCACCGATCCCGACTACCCGACCAGGGTGTGGGTGGCATCGAGTGCAACGCTGTTGATCTGGCCACCGCCAGAGCGCGCTAACCGGCAACTAAGTACCAGGCCCACTGAGGTTCACACTGTCTCTCAGCAGTGGATATATGGAATTTAAATATGTGGACAAATGGAATTTGATTATTCGACTTGACTTGAAAATATGTTATCCTATAACATAGGCTGATTAATTACCCCAGAAACCTTCAATTGGAGCTACGACCACTTACACTATTTATGTATGGATAAGGCCTCCGCACTAAACAAAAGTTCTTACGGACAGCCGTTCCAAGACCTGGATAGATGTGTCACTCACCTACGATGCTATCGTGGGGTCAATTCACCGCAGCATCACGTCCATGAACCTTGCTGAGGATTTACTAATCTATCATGTAACATAACATGGAGTGGAGTGTCAATCACCATCGAGAATATCAAGTTTAATTCTCGCTCCGGTAGGAGGGGAGGGGAAGGACATCTCTCCGGCGTATTGTGCAATCACACCCAAAATTTCGGCACCCTTTGATGCATCTATGGCGTGTATTTTGACACCAAAAGCTTGTCGGTAGCATTCCTGTTTTTTAAAGGACATATTTTTGGGAACACTTGGCGAAGGGGCCCGAAGGGCAGGCTGGGGGGGGGGGGGGGGTGAAGGGACCTCAGTCAGTAGGCAGTACCAAGCACTCCGTTTCGCGCCGGTCTTGGCCCTTGGGGCCTCTTTCCCAAATAGGGCCAGGGCTGGTCTACAAATATTAATCCGCAGGATCGTGCATTGATCCGGCCCCTTTGCTGATCAGGGGCTCACAAAAGGGGCCCCTTGTCGCCAGTAAGCCCGAAGCCGGCCATGGGCACATTTGCTGAACAGCGACAAGAGCGGGATCTCGAATGTCAAAAGGCCTCTCGCGCTGACCAGGACACTATTGACAATGCCGGGAGGCATGAGAGATGATGGTGCAACGATTTAACTCACGATTAGACGGTGACCTGTGCCAGTCAAGGGTCGCGGTACCGAACGCGGGGCCCCCCACACCGTTTCGACCAGGAGGCATGGGTGGGTCGATAAGCCACAGTGGCGTCTCGGCAGTGACGTGTCACTGTGTCGGTCCTGTGTCAGATGTCCAGGTCAGAGAATCTGCCTCATCAGAGATGGGACCGGCGCAGAATGTATTCCTCTTAGGGGCTCCGAATTGACCAGGGTACCCCGGTCCCCGTACTGCCAGAATAGCAGTTGCCAGTTACCCTGGGCTTGGACGAAAGGGCCCTACAGCTCCTGACCGGGACGATTCGTTTATACGATTTTGAGGTGGATTCTCAGCACGGAATTGGCAGTTGCAGCATCGCGAGCCACCCATACTACGCCATAGTGTTATGAGTCCGTGGTGCTGAACATGCTAAAACAATATGAAAATGCGCAGGCATTTGTTGTGTACGAAACACGCACGTATTGCATATTGGGTATTGTGTATATTACTCATTACAAAACCCGCTTCTTTTGCATGCTATTACTATTCGATGCTACAACTATTCTACAGTTAGAATATACTACAATTTTTACGTGCCGGGTGCGCATTACATTCAATATTAATGTTTTTGATGCCTAGAACTCATATTTTTACGCGCCGCTCCTGTCACATTCCTCAATAAGAATGTAGGAAATTCAGCGTACTCTCAGTGCGCTCAAAACATGCGGTACACGATTTGGATATTTTCGCATTAACGACTACAAAGTATGATACTTACATTTCAGGAAACTGACCGCATGTTTACTTCAAGAAAGAATATCGTGTCAAAAGTCTACGAATTCTATAGTTTTGCCGCTCTCTGCTACCGCCACCAATATTTCAATATTCGCGTCGCGGCATGTCAAGCGAGTGACATTACCAGTTAGACAATATGTGCAACTGGTTGTTTTTGCATTTCGCCATTCATTGTGTACTTTGATTCCCGCGGCGTCGCCCTTTCTGCCGGAGTAAGAGGCAGGCGTCGCCATATCGTCTCAGAAGCGTCGTAAAGCCCTGATAACGCACAAACATCCACTTTGAGGTTAGGGACTTACAAAATGGAACTTTTGATGGGTTTCGTTTTAACAAGCTATGGGAAATTGTGTTATATGTGTCTGTCTTCAATACCAAATTGTGATCCCTACAAAATCTTTCATTATCGTTACTTCAAGAACTGATAGGATATCGAAAGCTGAGCAAAATATGGCGGTGGCCCGATCTCCCAGCCCAGGGGGGAGGAACAGCCCAACTTTGGGGGCCCAGCTCAACATTGGGGGGCGGGAGGGGGAGGGGGTATGGCTCCCCAAGAGATACAAAGTTCCACACCTGACCCGAACCATTGAAACTTATGCCGCCACAATTCGCTAAAAACGGATTACCTCCCGGATTCGGCCAACTTTTATGTTAAAGTTGGGGCACTGAGGCCCTCCTCCAAACTGAACAGGGAACTGCATTTAAGCTGGGATGACAAGAAAGAGGTTGCTGAGAACAAGTTATTTGCTTTATGCAGCTCGGGCGAAATCGATTCATACCCCATGTCTGCGCCCATTGAAATGATCCTGACTGACTTGGAGGGGCCGAACGCAATTTGTAGTCGACTGCCGATACGTCCCATGGGCATGCAACTTCATGCATACAGTGAAATTTATTTGTTTGCCACCAACGCACAATTATATTTGTTGCCATTTACATTTTCAGTCAGTCGACTCAACGCTGACTCCGCAAAATACACCCGAGTCAAGGCCTTCTCGGTCGCAAATGCATTCACAAAGGAATGTCCTCCACTGTGCCCGGCCAAAACCATTTCGATTTCGGAGTCGTCTCCGACTCAGCGAGACGCCGGCTTTCATTCCGCGCGATGTCATGCGCATGTCTGCTGAGAGCGAGGGTGAAAAATACCTTATAACTTGTGGTAATATAATAATATAATATAACTTTAAACTTGAATGCCTTATGACGTGTGCGGCAGCGGTGACGCCAACCATCTCTAAGACGCACGTGGGTGGTCTGGCCGACCTGGCCCCCGTTTAGCTCTCTGTTCATCTCTCGGGAGTGTACTCAACAGAACAATGTGTGGTAGTGTGTGTGTGGGGGGGGGGGAGGGGGGAAGGTGAAATGTTTTAAACAACTGACAGCGTGGGGCTCTGACCGATTTCGGTGCCGAACTGTGAGCCCATTTGACGATAAAACAAAAACTTCCGTGAGTTCTGTCCTGACGACACGCTTACGCAAGCGCACCTCGCCAGACTGGGCAGCGGCCGCCAAACCTCATCAGTGACGAAGCCACGAAGCCTGACACTGTATGCCCACAGACGAGGATGACCAGTTCTGCCCGACCCTCCAACGATGTCTCTTCCATCAAGCGTGCGTGTTCCGGTTCGGCAATGAGTTCTGCATGCACGACCCTGCGCCAGGTGTTCGAAAGGTGACGGCAGAACGTCGGCCATCCCCAGCGACGTGCACGGCTGCTTGTACAGTTAGTGCGTTACAGCAGGTGTATGGCTATAGACAAAGATTGTGCACATATATGCCAGCTTTCCCTTTACTCCATATGCGTATTTCAACTTAGGAACATCTCGGGAGGCTACCAGGGTCGAAAATGTTTACGTATTTATCGTGTCGTAATGCCAGTGAAGCGTAAATGAACTAGAGATGAGTGAAATATTTTAGCACTCGGTGCAGTTGTAGATCGCAACTATGCCGCTGTGTATCGCTGTGGTGTCTGGTTTAAGCTACGTAAATTGTGCCAGCACGCATAATGCTCGGCAACCGTAGTGATAGCGCAATCATTATAAATACCCGTCATGCTTCACTAGAGGCAGTGTGGCTCTGATTCGGACCACTCTGACTGAGGGGTTCGTGCTTAAGTGAGTCGGTTCATTTACGAGATGAATTTCGCTCGGATTCAAAACCGTCGGTTCGCAAAACCGGGCTCTAGCTCAAGACTCGAGCTCGGCCTACGATTTAATATGTGTATGTGAATCAGATTCATGCGTTCATGCGAATCAGGTTCATCGGACTTATATCTTAGACACCTGGCACTCTGAATGGAGTGGATTTTCATTCAATTTTTAACCAGGAATAAATAATCCATTTATCGGAAAACGCGAGGCTGTGAATGACAGTTTAGGCTAGATACAATGAGAAATAATGTCCAATGACTCGCACGCAATGACGCAATGATCGAATCCGAATCCGAATCCGAAAAGACCGAATCCGATGGATTCGGAAACACCGAATCCATCGCAATGACGATTGGATTCGGACTTGGACTCATGTCAAGTGCCAAGGAAAGACAAGAGTCGGACTCTGAGTTCGTTTTTTTGTCAGGTTCATGCATGAAAGGTAGGGACTGAGCGTTCATATCAGCAATGATTCCATCTCTTGCTCCGCCACTATTTCTATACAATACTCGTTGGAGATATGTCAGTGTAATTGAGATGCAAACGTTCTCAAGGACAGAAAGGTTTTCTATTTGATCTTAGCCGAAGTTCATCAAGAACAGGAAGGTTTTTTATTCAGTTTTAACCAAAGTTAGAAAATTGAAGCTACAAAATAAGTCCGGGACCCGACGTAACCTGATCGTCTTCCAGATGGTGAAAGCATCGGTAACCTGCACGAGGGAGCAGAAACTGGCATCGATGTACCCAGATATGCCCGCGCACAAATACTGGGATCAGGTGATTGCGTTTCCTTCAGTGTCATGTACGCAGCTTAATGCAGTGTATCAGTTGGACTTGCCTTGAAGAAGTGCAACATTCCTGTGCCAAACATCTATGTCCTAGATGTTTTGAGCTAGGGGTGTTTTAATTTTTGTAGAACGATTTATAACTCTGGATTTTCAAGCAACTATTCTGGCACTGAATGTGCCTCTAAATGAGACAAGCTGTTTGAAACAAAACGAAAGATGGAGCGTAATTATGACCAAAGATTACCAAAGCGTCGCCACCTTACACTGTGGATGTAACCACAATGCAGCATTTGACCCGTCGTTCCGTTTTTTTTTTTGTTCGTTGAAAAACTAGTCCTGCACTTTAGTTGTGAAATGTCTTAATTCTGAGTTATTTAACCCAAATCCTCAGTTTTCATATCGACCACATTGGAGGTGCAGGTAGACGTTCCCAAATATAGTTTTCATAGTAAAAACAAACTTTGATGTTTTCCTACAACAAAATGGTAATAGCATATCAGTGTAAGAGGAATGGCACCCAGTCACAATCACGCCCATCATTTTAATACGTGCTTAGCTCCTGATAACTTTACAGCCGGGATCATCATAACCCAGCCTACCCGTTGCGGGCCGGGTCCTCACCATACCCCACCCTCTTCTCATTCCTGACTGTTGTTGCCCACCTGCCTCCTATGCTACAAGTTTTCCATTCAGTTTGTAGGTGAGAAGAACACGTTGCTCTTACCCGCACCCGTGTTACTCCCATAATTTAATGAATTGTGTGAAATATGGTCATTGCGACCAAGAGAAGCACAATAAAAAATATCGCACGATATTTCTTTAAACGTTCAGCTGCACCCTTACCCTCAATTTCCCCAGTTTCCTACCCTACATTAATTGCTACCCGTTGAATAAGCGAAACCATCAGTTTACTCAGCCGGTGAAGGCCTCTTCCCCAAACACCTGGTCTTGCTTGTCCCCGGTGGTCGCTGACGCCACATGTGGACGGCTTCCTGTCGTGTTGTTGCCGTGACTGTTTGTACAACGGCCGCGCCTGGGCGGCAGGTGCTTCACCTGCGGTACCGGTCCCGCGTCGAGTCCGGTGTCCGTGACTACCTGCACACGCCGATATCAGAGCATCGCGCCGCCGAGTCGGAGGTGTTCGACGTCGGCTGTCCGACGCGCCAGCAGGCGGTGGTGCGCGGCTTCCGCGGTCAGTGCTCGGCCGACCCCGCCGAGCCCGCCGCGTCCACCTGGACGGTGCTGGCCAGGTATGTCCAACAGCCGGCGGCGAGCGGCGCTCAGCGGCCAGCGGCCAGCGGCCCAGGCCACAGCAGGTCACCGAAGGTGTCCATGCCCGGTCAGCTTTTTAAGAGATGACTCTTTGTTAGGTTTGCACACGTAGCACCTCAATGCAGTGCATATGTTACTGTGAGCCTGTAATCCGCCTTACATACATGAACTGTTTGTTTAGTGTGAATATATGTGGACACTGCCGAAATTAGAACGACAAGAGCTGAGTCGACGCCATGCAATAGCAAGGGCTTTCAAGATATCGGGCCCAGATTAGCGGAGCTACGCCGTTGATTTCCAATTTTGCAGAGCTTTCGGTTCATGAGTTCGTCAACCCGCACCCGGCCGGGGGTCTGAGACAGCTGCGCCCGGGGGGGGGGGGGGGGCGGGGGGGAGCTGACCTGTCACCCTGGAATCTCTAACTTCTAGACGCCGTATGAAAAAACAAAGGTATTGTTTTGAAGGTCTTATGTGCTCATGGAAGATGCACATCACATTTTTGACCTTAGGTCAAATGTGAGGCCACGAGAGGCCACGAAATTCTAAGAGCGGTCGTTCCGATAGATGCAGTTAAAACCTATAACAGCACCTCAAGAGGGATATTAACGGCACGGAAGTCGGTGTTAAGACTGTGGGGAATCCATCCCGCCCATTTCTGTCTCCCACATAAATTACGTCAGATCAGGTCACCGTTCAAAAATGATGTACCCGTAGCTTGCAATAACGATACTTTTCTTCACAATGCGCCTCTGATCAAGTTTATTTCACTAGATGCAGCTGTGGGATAAAGGTATTTCAGACACAAAGACACCGATTTAACGTGACCTAGAGATCAGGTAAGATCAATCTAAGCCAAATTTATAAACCATTTAATTGAAAAAATGAAGTGCTTACCGGGATATGTGACCAGTACCAAGCTTTTCTGTGGTCACAAAAAGTGCATTGTACATATACGGGTACTCAATATCGCATAGCTGTTGTCTTCATTATACGTAGTCCCCTCGATGCTTGACAATGTATTTGTAACAAACTGAGAACAGGCACGTTGATACATGAAACTAGACGTCATCAGCTTCACAAACACGATAAGGAAGTGGTTGCAAGCGTCGTACTCGTTCATCTACCCTCTCCGCTACTGTCAACATAGTTCACTGGCTTTAAATGACCTGATATGAACTTGCACGTCCCCATATGAACTTGCATGCCCTCATATGGCCTATTGTAACCTCCTTATGCATGAAAATGATGCCACGACATGTTTTCATTGGAGAATTCTAGTTCTACGTCCAAAATTAATCTGCAAAACCGCCTATTTTGAGCATAGCACGGATTTTGCACAAGATATTCATAGAGATAGCGTCTGACCTAGGCCAAGGTTATGTGCTTCGTGGTCACATGATGGTTGAACATGCGAGTTAGTACGCTTTTTGCATGAACAAACACCAAAACGTAAAAAATAAGTAGAAATTGTGCATTGTTTTGGGAAGCATTGCACAAATTGACTTGACTTTAGGTATCTGATCACACATTTTGAAAAATGAAAGGTGCAAACTATCAATATTATCATGCTCTATTACCATGGCAGGTTTTAACAGGGGCAAATACACTGCGAAAGACCTTTGCTTGGTCAAAATTGGTTAGAACTTAACCTTTTTGACATGATCTTGTCAAAGAGGTCACTGATCTTGGTAGATCAAAGCTTTTGCTTTCCACAAAGGATGCCAAATCGATAGATGAACAAGCACTAAAATTTGCTGTTGCTGCAATTATTCGTTTTTTATCCATGTTTCGACAACCATAAATGGGGGGGGGAAGTCATCTTCCCCCGGCCAGGCGTGAATTAATTCTAAACGATATACGTCCTTCGTTTTGAAAGCTATAAGGGGTTTCTCTTGCATCCCCTGCTTAACGCTAACTTTCACTTTTATCGCTTGCAGGGAAGCGAATTCATGCATTCTTACATCACGCAAAAGGGTTTGCCACCTTATGGGAATCGCACTAACAAATCTGGTGCCGAAGGACGTCAATCTTACATTCAGGATATTTGGCGCTTAACTGGAGGTGCGTCAAAAATATGCCTTGCCTGTTGACTTAATACTTAATAAATCGCATAAAGGTCAATGAATAGTCAGATCAACTTAAAACTGGAATTTGTGATTTGTACCTCTCATCGGTGAAAAATCAACCCGGCAAAATAAACATCGTGTTACACCAATAGCTGTTGCACTTGCCTCCATAAGAAATCATAGATCTATAACTCAGAAGGAAAAGACATAATGTTTCTTAACCAATCCTGGATTGATCTGACATGACTTGAGCTTACTCCTGATCGTCGCCAACATTAAGTTGTCGTTCCCTCACTTGGCTGGATGGAGATCTCTACAAACACATTTACGGGTGTTCGTGAGTTCGATGACGTCGCAAAACGCCGATATTTTCCTAGAATTCTCTTACATGCCCTGTGACGCTATCATACATGGTCATCACCCTGAATCATAACCCTGCGTCATCATACATGGTACAAAGGTCGACTTCTATGATCACACGCTCGGGTGGGGGGTCAAATTGATCCCCCCCCCCGAAGGTTTTTCCAGAATGGTTTCCGAGCGGCGCGGCGCAGCCGTGCCAAATTTTGCACAGCTGTAGGCAATTGAATAGCAGATCACGTACCTTGTTAGGTCACTGACTTATGGCACATCGAAGCCAGGCTATGGTTTCAGCGAAGTCAATTTCTTGGGAATCGTCCATTCTAATGCAACAACGGAGTGTTCCACGAAGCCATACATCTCTGAAATGCTTTCTTAGGCAACACAAATATTGAATGAGCAGATGTAGTTGAGCTTATGTCAGGTATTAAGGTCGTACCGAGGTCAAAACCAACCTGGTTTAATGCTCTAAGGCTTACTGTATAGGATAGTTTCTGGAGCTCATTTCGAATGTATGGATGGCAGGAACCGCGTTATACATATTCCATTGACTTCTTATAGATCAGAATAGGTCATTGACCTAAGATGACCCTGGTCAACATTTTGTTTTTAGAGACATACCGCCTAACGTAGTCTTTGTTTCTTATTCAAATGTCAAACTCAGGGCAGTCTTGTATGATTCTTATCATCATGACCTTCAAAAGGTGAAACAAAGTCACTGACCTTAAATGAGCATGTGACATTGTGTTTAGAACAGTTAGCTAGATTCTGGAGGCACGAACCTTGTAGGACCTTATTTGATCCAAAAGTCATGACCTAGGAACCTCAAACCTTAACCTGAGTGAGCCCACGTGCAGGTCAAGACACCCTGTTAATTTGGTGTATCTAGCTCTCTTAGTTCCCGAGATCTCAGGGGGTGTCAAATTGATCTCCCACCTGAGCGAAGGGTATCTAGCCGGCCACCCGGATGCGTGTGATCAGGGTGATATTGACTAGTGCCGTCGATGATTGTCATTAAATTGTCTCGATACAACAGCTGCATTCGATTATAGGAAGGGGAGTGGTCCAGTGTAACCAGTGCGTTGGCAGGTTCGCCGCGTCAGGTCACTGGCCTTGCCGTTTCTCCGCGAGGGGGCAGTTGGAAGGAGTCGCTTTGCCGATTTTGCCCCCTATTTGCTAGACCACAGTTAGCTCATTTTTAGTATTATCGTGCAGGTAACCGGACGTGCCAGGTCAAAAGAGTTCAGGTAACGTTTCTCCATCTTGCATCATTGCAGATGTCCGGTAAGTAACGCTGGTTCAAGGTAAAACATTCCAGTCGTAGAGTGTTGGTTCATACCAGAGAATCCACCTCCAAAAGGCTGTTTAGGTAATCGAAAGTCTTCCTCATTTCCCAGCGCCCTTTCCCTGAATCATTTTTCGTTTGCATAGGCTACAACATTAGTGCACTTTAAGAGGTCCAATGGTTTTTTTCAACACCCAACCTTTTGTGCGCTTGTTTTTATCACGCGCTGGGGTGGGAAGAGGGGTCAATCTGACCCCCAAACTTTCCAGAACGATTTTCAAACGGGTCACAAAGCTGTGGAAATCGAAATGGCGGATTTTTTGGTAACACAAGCTTACATGTACCTCGTATGGTCGCCGACTTATAGCAGTTCAAAGTCAGGCCATGGATTCAGCGAAGACAACTTTTAGGGAATCGTTCAATCTGATGCAGCAAGTGTTTGGCCTAGGGTCAGGTATAAAGGTCAGACCAAAGTCAAAACCAACCTAATATTTTCTCCCAAACCTTGTTGTATGGGGATAATTTCTGGTGTTCATTCTAAATTTGTTAGCATCAGGGGTCCCATCATGTATCTCTCATTAATTCTGAAAGGTCAGAATAGGCCACTGACGGAAAATGACAAAGGTATGCATTTTGTTTTTAGGAACATACCGCCTAGCGTAACCTTTGACGTTTGTTCATATGCAAAAATCAAAGCAGACTTGCATAATTTTGGCGACTATGACCTCACAAATGTCAGATAAGGCCGATGACCTTTAATGAGCACCAATGACCTTTTGCTTAGAACGGGGCTCTAGCTTCACGGCGATTGCATAAGAAGCCTGGGGGCACTTTCGAATCCAATCTAGGGTTTGACGTTGTTTGGCCTAATTTGACCTGAAGGTCACGACCTACATACCAAGATCTTGACACAAGTGAGTTTGCATGCAGGTTATCACACTTTAGGAATTTGGTGTCTCCAGCCTATTTATGTCTTGAGATCGCATGTCAAAATCCCTCCCTACCTGCGCGAAGGGTATTTAACAGGCCACCCGGACGCGCGTTGGCGACCTTCACATTATCTCTGACTAACGTCAATATTTTTTGTTTCCAGTGTAGTGGTTTTCAGGCTGATTTAATGTCACTTCTAAGATTTATTGTGATGTAACCTTGAGCTCAAAAATCGAAGCTTACACCCGGGCGGTGATAACACTGCGCCTTGCGCAACATTAAGCCAGGACTCAGTTTGGCTGCTAGCGCGTGACAGAGTACGGCATACCGCCTCAGGCTGCTTGTTCACCAAAATTAAATGCCCTCTCGGAACTCGCGGTCTTCCGTTATGAGAATGACGTTTCCCCCAACCCCACCCCCCTCCAACCTTACTTACGATCGACTTACAGGTCACGACGAGCGGCTCTGCTATGTTTCCGTATCTTAGGAGCGAAGCCCGACCGAGGCACCCACATCAATCGTAGATATCTGCTGAGTGCTGATGACCTGACGACCTGACCTGGCTGTCGGCAGGGCGTCCCGACACTGCCGCGACCAGCTGATGACCGTGCTCTGCGCGTTCCTGTTCGACGGTGGCGGCATGTGCCTGCCACCTCAGTCGGGCCGACCGGGCCAGGCCGGCTTCGACTACGAGGCGCTGCCAATGCCGGGACCGCGTCACAACCTGACACGCTACACACAGAGTCAGTTTACTGCTGGGCCACTCCATGGCTGAATAACCCAGGAAATATCACATATAAACCCTCGTACCTGTTTGTAAATATAGGCACATAAGGGGATTTGAACCATACCACATCTGTTTGATGTTTTGAGCTCTCCGAGCCACTGTCATCCAGTTACAGTCTCAATTATTTTTGAGACCATTCTTCAAGTATACCATTGGCAGTCCATGACATATAGACAAATGACCCGATCCGAATAACGTACCTATCGGTGAATCGTGATGCGAGGAAGCTTCAAGCAAACGTTTCACATTTGAAGATACTGAAGCAATCATCAGACATAATGAAATAAGCTCACTGATATGCTGAACATGCTCCTCAGTACGTCTATGTTTGATCACGTCATGCAGGGGCGTTGCTTTACATACTTTCGGGAGGTCCGCCCCCCCCCCCCCAATACTAACTTGGACCCACCCCGCAATGCTCCTCTGAGCCCCTTAAATGCATATCAAGCAAAGGAAGACTGCTGAGCCAAATAAATACAGTACAACTATCTAATTGTTCGTATGCTAGTTAGTAGATACCTTCACACGTTACTGTTAGTATCATGCTAATTTTGTGCCAGATGACATCCTGAGGGTACCTAATGTTTTTGTCATGCTAATTCCTCCATATGTTAACTCTGTCTGTAACTGTTTAACATGGTTTTTTCAAATGATTACGCCCAGATTGGGATAAATAATAATTGACTGCAATTTGCAGCAGCCTTCAAAAGTACAGGGTGGCTCAGATAAGAGCAAACGCACTTTTTTCCAAACGGTGGCAGACGTATTTGTTGCATAATCACGACAGTGGTGATTATACAACACGATTAGCAACAACGGTGGCCATCAGTAGTCCCCTTCTAAGATTTTCTTAGATCTTTTTCTGTGAGCTACAACCCATTTTATAATTTTTACAAGAAGGCAGGTTAGATTACCTAGAAAAGAAGTCATTCCTACGCAGAAAAACAATTTTGAACCTATGATTTTTTTAAAAAGCTTGTTTTCACATTTAACTTTGAGGACACAAATTCGAGTGACGAAAACCGAAGAGAATTCAGGTTTTGGGGTGTGGTTGGGTAAACCTTTCCGGCTGAGCCCCCCCCCCCCCACCGTACCCTCCCCGCATCCCCATCCCTACCGATTTTGGAAAGTGAGTCGGTGACACCCCTTGCGTCATGGAGCGTTTGTATAACGTTGAGATACGGCTAAACCAGCCGGGCAAAATTGTCACCTGCTTGTGCTGTGGCAAACTTGTGGAGAGATGGCTGTGCGGGGTGGAACGTTCGCTGAGTTAAATATCATGATGAGCTAGTGTTTTGGTCCTTTTTCGTGGTGTTCTTGCATATGTATTCGCGAGTTTAAGATGTTACGTGCATTCACACTCTTATTTACGGCGATTTATTCAATTATAACATTGCGAGTCTTATTTTCGTAAAACCTACAAGTGGGGAAACCATGTCCAGCTTTTATGTCATGATGCACAAAGTGTGTTTCGTGATTGAAACTTATACGGATTGCTCAGCATTGTTTGAAAACCAATTGGTGTCCACGGTATTTGAAAATCGTGCTCACGGACGCCAGATCTGAACGGTTGAACGATCATATTCTCCCTGGTCCTAAACGCCGCCTGGCCTGTGGGGTGGCAGGATTTGAATGGCGTCGTTATAGCGTAATGCATGCCTAAACGTTCTTCAAATAGTGTACACGCAAAAGACTGTGCATCCTTACGGGAGTGTAGCTAAGACACCAGAGGGTTTTATGGCTTAGGCAGGAGATGACTGTTAACTGCACCGAATGATCTTCAAAATGGCGGTTTCTGCTGAAAACCCCACACGAATGTGGAAGACTTCCTTTAAGAGTAGTTGGAAGAGAGGGAGGGAGTTTAAAGGAGCGGCAGGTTTTAAAACCTAAGTGCTAGCAGTCACCGTTGATCTTTTTCTTTTTATAATTTTTTAACCAGCAAATGCTCGCCAAGTCTAGCGCACAGTCCGGTGAAGAGCGCGCGGTTCTTGCCGGGCTAGATGTGCCCGGTGAGCTACTTAAAGAGTTGCGTCTCTGAATCAGTCATACGTGACCGGACATGCAGCACCGTGAGCAAACACCTGCATACATGTGCTGGCCGAGAAGCGGATTGGTCTGGGCTCGCACGCGGGAACCCGACTGCCACCTCACGCATTTAGGACTTCAGACTAACATACACAACGCCACCATGATGCTTCGGACCTACAACACAAGCACCCCAGCGCTGGGTGTAACCGCAGGTGCAGCTGAACACTTCAGTCCCTATTTCTCATGGTCTGCAAATTGGCGTGCTCTCTGCGCATATCCCGCCCAGCGACGTTTGGCAGGCCATCCGTCCTTGACTCGGCCTGTGCCCCTCCCCCTCTCCCCCAGTGTCGCCCCCTGCGGGCCGGCCGGATGGCCAGCGTTCCTTGGTCCTGTTACAAAGCGGTAGAGTCGCGTCTCCTTTTCCAGACCGCAACGTAAGTCGGCATTGTTCTGTGAGCTCCCAGTCGGCCCCTCAGTAAGTGTTGCGGTGTTCTGTTACCAACAGCGGCGCCATGGATTCTGAGCAAGGGGGCAAGATTTTCCAGGAAGTCGCCTGGACGACACGAGGTCTCCTCATGGGGGTCTCCTAGACAGTTTTAGATTTAAGGGGATGGGAGAGGTGGCACGGAGGTCATCTGCCCCTGTATCACATTGTTGCACGTAACAATTTCCATGTTCAGAAATGTCAATCCTTGGGACTTAGAATCGGGCCCTTCGATTTACGCAGTCAAATCTTTTTTATCCATCAGAGAGCCTCCCTATCCGGAAACAGGGCTTCCTGTGGCAGAAACAACGTTCTGGCGCATCTGGCTCTTCGTCAGAGGGTCTCCCAGATGCTGATAAGGACAAGACCATTTCAATTCTCAAAGTGGTCTCCAAAGCCAGCAAAGGGCCTCGTTTTTCCAAAACGGGGCATCCTGATCCGCAACTGTTGCTACATGAAGCACAGACCCGTAGCCAGGCAGGTGCATTGGGTGCCCACGCACCCCCTGGGATCTGGGGCGGCCCCCCATCCTTGTTTTGTAGAACCCCCACAGACCCGTAGCCAGGCAGGTGCACCGGATGCCCGCGCATCCCCTGGGATCTGGGGCGGCTATCCTTGTTTTGTAGAGTCCCTGCACTTCAAGTATCACGCTTTCACGACGATTGGATTTTTCATTCACATATAACGCCTTCACGACGGTACTTTCTTGAGTTGGGATCTGCGATAATCGTAACGTTACGATTGTACAATGCGCCAAGCTTTTTCATATCTCAAACTCCGTATCATTTGCCGCAGTTCAGTTTCGAAGGATTACCTCAGCTTTGTTTTTTTGTTGACAGAGGCCTCCTTTCCACCCTGAAGTGTTTTTATATTTTCCTGACAGCCAGGCGATAATAAAGTGGTTTGATCTAAAACAGCAGCGATCGAATACTCGGTCCTGTGGACCCTCATTCCATTATGATGGACACTCACATGCCACGTGAAATGTCAGGAGTTGCTCGGCTATCTGGTTAAGGCAATCATGGGGAAGAAGACCGCTTCAGCTTCGGCTTCGCCAAGCCGTAGTTTTCTTCAGAAGCTTCGGGTTTGACTTGTGACATTTCCACTATTGGCTTTGGCCTCGTGGCATTTTTAGCAGCTGGTTTCGATTTCGGCTTCAACCAATGCTTGGATTATGAATCTAGCTTAAAAACACCCCCCCCCCCCCTGCTGCCACTCGTGTTTGCTTTGACGTTATGCGATTTTGAACTATTGTTTTCGGTATCGTCATGATGAATTTTCTCTGCAACCACGAGTTTTCTTCACAAAAACGTGCGTCTCCGCCCTGTCATCCATTTTACCAACCTCGAGACTTTTCGAGGTTGTGAAACATACATGCTTGAAAAACAAAAATCAGTCCGTCATTTGCAGGATCAATTGACGCTTGACGACGGCCGGTAACCATCTGCCCAACATCTTGCTATGCGTACTAGCCCACAAGACGAGGTAGACAACTTTTCCAACCGTGATGTTCAACCGGAAATCCAACCTCATCTCAACCACTCCGTAAAACAATTTGAATCTATGAAATATTGAAAATAGCAATTATATATTAATTTCGGGCACGCAAATTGAATCGGCGGAAATCGAGAAAAAATCAGTCTTTGGTTGGGGGGGGGGGGGGAATGTAAGGTCCTTATCGGCTGAGCCCCAACCGATCTTCGAGAGTGACAGCCGTGGTTAGGAAGATGCTTCAAGTCAGTGCCACGCAATCTTACTGCTTGCTCTTTTTTCGTCCGTAGGAGCTCTATACACATTATTTGTAGTTGCATTTATTAAGGCAAAACAGCAAGCTTAGATGCAAGCTTAATTTTAGCTTGATTTTGATGTTTAATTTAGTTGAACCCTCGATTATATATAGTGTTGGGTTCAGTATTCGATCTAAACAGTGCTTGTCGCGTGAGCGCTGATCCCACCGGCCGATAGGGGACATCCGGGCATGCGGTAGCGTTATAACACAGTCTGTCCTACCCTCTAGCGTTACCAGAACTTAAGCGCGACTGCTGACACGTGCTGCAAGACATCCCAGTCAGCGGCAAGCGGCAAGTGCATTAAGTGACTCAAACCTAACCCGCTACGGTTGCGTGAATCAGAGGGCGGACGCTGAAACCAGCTGAGTTATTGGGGCGGGCTGATGGTTTCCTGAAACATTTCACGAAATCAGAGCTTACATACTGTAAAAAAGCAAACGTGCTGGTGACGTGTTGGTGAAATTGATTTGGAATGAATAACGGGTGGTTGTGGACTACAGGACTTTAAGGGAGAATCCATGAATACCCGTGCGATATATGGAACGGGGAGTGTGGTACATATAATGGGAAAAGTATGGATAGTTGTGCAGGCCAGATGTTTGCGGAATGTTGGGCTGTTTCTCCAAGAAATGTCACACCATGTTACTGCTGACACTTCATATAGAGAAGATTAGATCCAAAAGACTAGGTTTAGATGTAAGCGTTGCTTAAAGTCTTCCAGAGTAGTGGGTAGCAGAGGGCACGAAAAAAGAAATTGACAAAAAGAGAAGCCTTCTGTGTCCGATTTTGGCCGTCCAGCACAGATGTGGAGACTCCTTGATCTGGGTTTTTCCTCCGTGCTCCGCTCCGCCGCCTGCGTATGTCATAGGTCTCAGGGCTGAGTTTTGGAGGACCATAAACACACTTCCGGGTGGGATAAATCCTTCACCTTTGCCGAAGGGTTTTACATAACAATTTCCAAACGGCGTGGTGCAGCCGCTGCAAACTTTGCCAAGATGTAGACAATCGAATGGAGGATCTTTCAACATAAACAACTTACATGTGCCTTGTAAAATCACTGATCCATGGTAGATCAAAATCAGGCCGTGACTGTCAGCGAAGGCGAGTTTTACGGAATACTTTGATCTCTTGCGATATAGTGTTAACGAAGCCATACATCTCTGAGGTGGTTATCTTTATAGAAAATAAAACGCTTTAATTTAGGAATAAAATAAACTGCAGTGGCCTACGGCCACATATGAAGGTTAAACCTAGATCAAAACAACTTGCTTTTTTCCTTCAGAGTCTCCCATATGGGATAACTTCTGGTGCTCCCACTTTAAATTTGTTAATAACAGGGACTGCAACAAAAATCTTGCAAAAAAGAAGGCGTTTACACTTGTGTTTTTTAAACTGAAATAGCCATCTAAAAGACCTTTCGGTGTAGTTCACAATCTTGCTCTTCTTAAGATCTAAGCCCCTCTAGTTTCTAAGCTACACGCCCATGAAAATGGGAAAAGGTTTATCGGGAAGAGCACTTGAAAGTCACCTTGGCATTCATGACGTCACAATAACGTCATTCAAATCCTGCCATTCCACAACTTAAGCGACGATTAGACCCAGGAAAATATGAGTATCAAAGCACTCACATCTGGCGTTTGTAAGCGTGATTTCCAGATACAACGGCCGTTAATCGATTCTCGATCAATGTTGTGCAAGGTACTATTACGTAATCAAACCATGACGCATTCAGGAGCATCTTTCCTGAAGGGAGAACTGTGCTGTCTAGAGCTGTATTTCCGACTTAAAAAGCTTGCCAATAGTTAAAAATGAGTTTGTTTCACGTTATCTAATGCTGGCTTTAATATTTTCAATTGTGAAACATTCCCTTCAAGAAACATGCCACACAGCGTAATTCTTGACATTTATTCAAATGCAAAATTAGAGCAATCTTGACAGGTTTTGGTTACTACAACATTATAAAGATAAACCTAAGTCACTCACCTAAAATGAACACCAGCGACCTTCTGCTTAGAACAGGTGACTAGGCTCAAGGCTGTTGCATAAGGAGATCTGGGGTACTTTGGCCACCAACCTGAAGTTAAACCTCATTGACCTTGTATCACTCAAAGGCTATAACCAAAGAACATGAAAACATGACCACAATTGGGTTCACATACAGACTAACCCAGTCTGTGAATTTGATGTCTTTAGCTACCTTAGTTTTATGGATCCAGCCCCACACCTGAGCAAGGGTGTTCAACCGGCCACCCGGGCCCGTGCGATAGGTTTGCGCGATCATGGAATCGCACGCCGACAGAACGATAACGATGATGACGGGGACGCTGAGATCCGTCTCAACGGATGGGTCAGCACTGGCGGATACATGCTGAGCAACAATGCAGAGCCCATGCGATTGCCTGAGGTCACTGAACCGGCATGTAGAGGAGGCACTATTGAGTCCTGGTGCCGTTCGGGTATTGTTTGTGCGGCTGTGGGGGACGTTAGGCGGTGGGGAAATGGTGTTTCATAGTGATTTCGCGGAAAACTCCAGCTGATGCATAGCTTAGACATAAATCAAGTCATGAGCGATATTGTTATGAAAGATGATACCGAAAATTGCTGGTTTGCCGTTGCCAATTGAAGTTGAAGCCGTTTTTGCCTGCTTCCGAAATGGCCATTTGAGCCAATACCTGTCTCTCCCCTCAGTGTGAAGGTTGAACAGTTCATACATGTGCCTGGATCCCACAAAAAAATATCAGATTTCGTGAGATCCCTTGACTGAATTAAAAACAGATCACATGTTTCAGCAGATTGCTCAACGTTTAAACTGTACTGGATTTATATGATAATGTTAACAATTCATTAAAATACCAATATCTTAAAAGATCTTTCCACACAAATTAAAACAAAATTCAGGATCCCACAGGATCCGCTAACACTGTTTTTAAATGTATACGATCAGGAATGTCCTTCGAGAAGTATTGAAACCAAATCCAAAATCGCAAAAAATGGGATTTAAGTCCTAGGGATCCAGGTCTGAAATTTCCCTTGGAAATCCCTTCTTTCGGATTCTAGTGCGTACCTGTTAAATGCACGGATGATCATATTATAGTAAGGGTTCACACTGTTTGACGTGCGTTTAATTGCTTTTGTTTCCGTTTCCTCTCGTACTGAAATAAGGACATTGCAAATTATTGACAATTCTTCGTAACATCTTTCTCTTTCATTTCCCGCCAGTTCTCAGCGCACCAGAGCGTGACTTGATTCCCGTCAGGATCGGCTTCCTATTGCTTGTGCACAAAGACGTCAGCTCGACGGTAAGTATATTCTTGGAATGCTTTTATTAGATTTGCCTCGCCATCGTGTCTCATCCCACGTTTTGAGCAGCATTGCTTCCAGTTCCCTTCGAAGTGTTCCTCGCACTTTGGTTATTGTCTCAATGATGGGAAAATCAAAGCCATATCTTTATTCTGGCGATACAGGCGTGCATGTCGTGTCATATGGAAGCTAGCGCACAGCGTGAGTGTGATCCTCAAATGTCGTACGGGAGCGCCTGTCATGTTACACAATACACACACGAGTCGCACTTGAGAGCCTCATGATACCACAGCTCTCGCACTGCGCGGTGTACACGCTTTGGAACCTATCTAGCCACAGCCGCGTAAATGTTTCACTGACGGACAACGTTGTCTGCCTTTTCCATTTAGCTTATGCATTTTGGTGTTACTTTCTTTCAGCTTAACGTTATTACGGGCAAGATGTAGAGATAAACTGCCTTAGAACAAAATTCAGACAAATCGTGTCACCCGGGCCTTCCACACCATCACGATTAGCACCAAGAGCCGTTGTAGCAAAGGTGCCATCACATTAAGATATGTCTATGTCATGGTTAGCGTTACACTTAACAGCACTAGAGCCGCTGTGCAATTACAAGAACAGAGACCCTCGGCTCTAGTGCGCCATATTTCTCTGAGGTCACTTCTGCAACCTTAGGCCGTAACGCAGCAGAAAGCTGCTGTGTGAAGCAGTCCTCATCCAAGCGCACGCACTCAGCAGCAGACGGGTCAGAGGGGTGCAGTGATTGATTGCCGGCCCATTCTTGCCAAGGTGTGGTAGTGAAGTTTGACCAGAACCGGAGTGAGAGAAGAAGGTTGCTGTGCGATCAGTTCTGTTCACATACCAGGTCAGTCAAGTGAATGGTGTTCATACATTGCCATTTGGCTGAAATTCAGCAAAATCCCCCCAACAAAAACGAACAAATCTGCCGGCCGAGTGGCTCAACATCGGTCGGGTGGCGGGCAACTGCACCAGCCGTGGGGCCGGGTGGGAGATGCGCCGTTACTAAATTCGCCTCCGTTCAAACCCAGGTTTAATCACTCACCACAATCCATTTGTTGCGTCGAAACTTGAACTATGCCTGCCTTCCGTAATGCGATTTGATACCTTTTTTTAAAAAAAGGCGTCCTCAGCGCCTCACCGCCTGCCAGTTGCATCAGACAATTCCGAGATCGCAAGGTGGTGCCTTACTGTGTGATTGGCTTAGTCGACCATCGCACGAAGTCGTACTCGCTTTTCATTGGTTAACTATCACATCATTTACGGAACCTGTGACCATGTCATCTCCGATGTACGTAGTATATAAGGCCCAGCGTTGGTGACCATGTAGGCTCATACACCCACTGGAATCGAAGATGCAGGGCTGCTGTTGGTTGTGCACGTGGACATTGTGGTAAGGTGTCAGTGTTGGTGAGTGCAAGTTACTAAAAATAAAAGCTTTTGACTGACAATATTTATCTTTCTCTGACTCACGAGAACGACAGCCAGCCAGCGAGGCCTACACTAGTCCAACTATCATGTCAGCACTAAGAAATCTGCTGCATAATTATGTCTGACATCCATTAAGGAAAGACTTTTGGACCACCGCACTGATGTTTTGAAATATACGGAACCGAGTTTGCCGAGAAGAGACACCTAGGACAGAACCATGTGACTTAAATTAGCGCATATCAAACATCACGCACTCAGGAGTTTAGTACGTTAGAGACATCTCATGACTAGCCGTACCAGTGCAGGATTTCTATGCTAATCGAGTTTTTTTACACAATGCACTCAAATATATCAATGTCATGGTCTAATCATCCTTCCTCTATTACGCATGAAAGCCAGACACGATTTAATCATCTGAATGGACAATATGACCGCATTAAGTTAATTTGTTTCTTCATTGTTAATATCTTGCTTTTTATTTTGGCGGTACCAATGTTGTTTCACCAATCTTGCCCTCACCCCCCAATGGACTAATATATTTGTCCCCCCCCCCTTTTGTAATTCGTCCCAATAGCTTAGCAAGCTAGAATGTCCGCAATCCAATTAACGTACTGGTGGTGGGGAGGCTTCGAGTTTATTTATGCCCTCCTTATTTGGTTTTGGCTGGCATGAAAGCCAGCAGGTAACAGCGCATACGGTAAAGGTCACGTAATACCACCGGTCCTACCCTCCAGGTAGAAGGGCGGTGCAAGAGATGCGGCACGTTAAGCTGTCATCGTAAAATTCTTCTGTTGAGCCGGAGATTCACAGTCGAATGGTGAGCTCACGCGACAACCACGACTTAACGCGGGTGCTGATCCCGGATATGTGTCCGATAATTTGTCTTCTACATAAGCTTTTAGAAACAAAACATAAGATACCGGAACCGATGCCGTGGTCTTATTTTGTGCATCTACCCCAATAAGGGGCAATTGGCGATAGATTGCCTGACATGTGAACCCACTCGTCTGATATGTGAACAGAACCGACCGCACCGAAACCTCTTCGGCTCACTCTGATTGCGGTCAATAGTCACGTCCACGTCGTCGAAAGAATGGGCCGTGCATCAAGCAATCCACCCCTGACCGGTCTGCTCCCAAGGGCGCGCTCATCGATCAGGAGTGTTCCGCACAACTTCATGCTGCATTGAAATCTAGGGTTCCATATCTACCTTCCGAGAAATGAGACGCCCTGGAACGCGAGGGAACTTTCCTGTCTTTGGAATTGCACATGTTTATCTTATGATTAGCGCCATTAGTAACATTTGGCGACATGCTTGAAACACTTGCGCGGTTCGGTACACCCGATTGAAATGATTGCCTGGGGTGACTGTGGGACTAACAATTTGAGCATAGGTCAGGCTATGGTCAGGACAGGCGGTCCCTGCCCGCTGTGACGTCATGTCTGGCGGCAGCGCGCCCGGCCGAGCGGCGGACCGTGGGCTGCGGCCACATGTATCCTGTGGCTGCGCGTGGTGATCTCGGCCTGACAGGACCTAACAGGGCGGGCACATTTTATCGACCGTCGATTGTGAACCGAGAGCAGGCACCGAAAGCGATACACCCTGCTTGAATGTGAGTGAGTGGTGCGCAGCTGTGCGGGTCATTTCGGTGGTGATCGATGAACAGGCGACCTGTGTCCAACAGCTGCAGCTACTGGAGCAGATCTACAGGCCACAACACTATTACGTGGTGCACGCGGACTCTCGCGCCGAGGAGGTGCGTCGCCTGCTGACGTCAACTCTACGCCGGCTCCCTAACGTCCGCGTGCTGCCCGGCGAGCGGTCATTCGCCACCTCTTGGGCGTCCTACAACATCGTGCGCGCCGAGCTGGAGGTGAACACGCCGCCTGTGGGCGCGCGCCGGCCGGGTGCTGGTCCGATCAGCGGTGACACCGGCTTGTCGCAGGAGTGCCTCAGGCGGTAATGCCGGCTCGTCGCAGGGGTGCCTTAAGCGGAGACGCCAGCTCGTCGCTGGGGTGCCTCGGACGGTGATGCTGGCTCGTCGGGGGTGCCTCAGACGGAGACGCCGGCTCGTCGCTGGGGTGCCTCAGATGGTGACGCCGGCTAGCCGCAGGGGTGCCTCAGACGGTGACGCCGGCTCGTCGCTGGGGTGCCTCAGATGGTGACGCCGGCTAGCCGCAGGGGTGCCTCAGACGGTGACGCCGGCTCGTCGCTGGGGTGCCTCAGATGGTGACGCCGGCTCGTCGTAGGGATGCCTCAGACGGGCCTAGATGTGCCTGCCCAACGACTCACTCTTACCGCCGGGTAGTTTATCATCGGCGTGCTACTTGCACACATTTCGGGCTCTGCACTCCTCATATAGGCTGATGCCCACCTTCGCGACCTGTGCTGCTGGGAGACTCCGAAAGAGCTGCCGGAGCCTGACACCGCATGGCGGCGATGAATGGCGTCCCTGACACCGCAGGCGCTGGAGGAGCTGTTGCGTCTGGGGGTCTGGGACCATGCGGTGGTGCTGAGCGGCTCGGACCTCGCCATCAGGAGTGTGGACGAGCTGGCGGCAGCGCTGGCCGCCCATAGGGGTACTTCTATGCTGTCCACCTTCGATGGCTGGAAGGAGAAGCCGGGGCGACCCAGCCACGTGCAGTAAATATCGACGTCTTCAGTCATCTAGCCGTTATTTAAACTTGTCCCCACATAGGCCGCTTTCAACGAGTTCCGATCAATGTTCGCCTACTAAATTAAATGTTCTATGGCCACCTTGTGTTTTGTTCCACGTGTGCCAATTTCCAGTTTTATCTTGTCGCCTCTCCTGAGCCGCCGCCTTCGGTGCACTCCTGGTATAATCCATAATATTTTTCTATAAAAGCCGCAGCAATATGAACTGATACTCGCCATGCGTGTACATGACCGGTTGAGCGACGGATGTCCATGGAGGGCCGGGCGGGTTTGTTTCTAAGCCCTAGTCATACGTATGCCTGCAGGGCGATGTGCGACAACCATGTCTACACGCTGAGCGCGACACACGCTCTCGATCCAGCGGTCCGTCTCAAGGGCAGGCAAGTGATGGAGAACGGTACTAAGGTATAGGTGACGTTATTTTGGCAGCCCGTCTTAAATCCCGAAACCTCTTTACTCCCTGTGTTATTTGCTCGCATCTTGTTGCCGTCTTCAAAGACATATGCTGCGAGGACCCACGTGTTTCAGGGTACTCATTTTGTAAATCGCACGGGTATCGTTTTATATACCGTTAGGGGGGGGGGGGTGAGCCCCTCCAACGGTGACTTGGCCCTCCCACTCCAATACCCCTCTGGTTCTCCTCGGTACATATGGGTAAAAAGAGAATACTGGACCACAGAAAAGCAAGAAATGCTCATTACCTACGAATACACTAAGTACCTGGGCACATCATTATTTGTATTATGTCGATTCCGTATCAACGAGTATCCCGTAGCGGCTTAATATTTTTATAATGCCAGCCCCTTCATATGGGAAGCTACTCTGCAAGCGTTTGACAAGTGTGGCACACGATAAGACCAGGATTGGGATGAAGTACAATATATTGCTATATGTGGTAGGTTTTTAAAGTACAGGGTGGCTCAGTATGGCTTCCCTGATCAGTGGCAAGTGTATTTGCCGCACAGTTGTGTGACTGGACTTCCAGTCTGTGACTGTGACTGGGCGTGGTATTCGACTACCAACTGAGAGGCAAACATAATCAGCCCCAGGGGTAGTCATTAGCGCAAAGTCAAATTTACCAACCCAACCAAATTGCGACGACAAATGGTGGGCCGATGGTCCGTGGACGAGCCAGGATGCGATCAGCTGAATTTACCGCAGGTAGGTGGTTGCCCGGTCCACAGTCCACGGTAATGCGCCTCATTTTTGAATCGACGAACTTTTTTAAACGTTCCTTGTTTTAACATTGAGTGCAAGTTTAAGTGACAGACATTCGGGGAGAAATCACGGTTTTGGGTCAACTTTTGCCGGCTCACCACTCCCGTCAACCGATTTTAGAAAGCGACACCCGTGGTTAAATGCCTTGGGTCGTTTATGTTGGCAAGTACCTGCAATTCACTGCAAGGTGTCGCTACGGTATTTTGAGCTCTGGCCTGTTTGCGCGGCAGTTCTCAGTGGTTCGTGCTGTCGCGAGATATGGCTGAGTTCGCCACGAACCTGCAGCAGCATCCGGCCATAGCGCGGCGGCTGTTCCGGTTCAGACACCACGCCATTCCTGACGAGTTTTTCTTCTCCACTCTGCTATACGCATCACCGTACAGGTAAGGCTGGACACGGCTTATGTTTCGTATGTTTCGTATGAAAACGGCTCTATGTTTCGCAAATCGTATGACCGCTATCGATGGGACCGGTGCGCTGCGTACCGGGCCACCGCTCAGTACCGGTCCACCGTTCAGTACCGGACCACCGCTCAGTACCGGACCACCGCTCAGTACCGGACCACCGCTCAGTACCGGACCACCACTTGGTACTTAGCCACCGCTCAGTTCCGGGCCACGTAAGTACCGAGCTACCGCTCAGAACCGGGCCACCGCTCAGTACCTGGCCACCGCTCAGTACCGGGCCATCGCTAAGTACCGAGCTACTGCTCAGACCCGGGCCACCGCTCAGTACCTGGCCACCGCTCAGTACCGGGCCATTGCTAAGTACCGAGCTACCGCTCAGTACAAGGCCACCGCCCAGTACTGGGTCATTGCTCTCTGGAGAGACGACTTTCATCTGACCTGAGGCACATCACTGATTTCACGATGGAGTAAGTTTAACGAGCAATCCTGAAGTTGATTATCGCCGGATGTGTTTAATTGTTATCGCTTCGGTATCGCGTATACGCTGAAGAACGAACAACTTATATAATCAAGAGCCTCCATTATCGAGTAGTCGATTTCTCGAACTGAACTGGATCGCGAAATTGTACAACTCGTGTGCGAAATAGAGGACGTTAGGAAATTGATCGGCCAAAATGAGCTGAACCAGACTGAAGCTTTCCTAAGAAAGCCAACCCAATAATACATTCTTCACAAGTATATTTCATGCATGTTATGCTGCGGTGTCATGTGCCATGTTATGTTTCATGGGCCATGATTTGGCTTAACATGATGGATTGCTTCAGATTAGATTTAAGAAGTGTTGCTTGCCTGGCGTGAATCGGGATTAACTGGACATTTGTAACAAAGGCGAAATGTTTTCAGGCTCGCTTGAATAAAAAAGGCAGTGAATTCGACCGGAAATGAAAATCACATTAAGAACCGCGTATCTTAAAATTCTTGCGCTGCGCGTCAAACAGAGACTTCCCTCTAGCATCTAACAGCTAAAGTAAATGCGTGTCATGTCACAAGCAGCCATTTCTCCTATTTGTCCCCAAATGCACAATTTTGCGATGTTTCTCCAATGACTGTGCCGAATGCTAAATCGTTCCATGCAGCCTGCCGTCCGCACACGTAGTTACGCATTCTGTGGAAGTGTTCCTGTTCCTTATAGTTACTAAATGCAAATTCCCTTACCTACATTGCACTAAAAATTACTTATATACAGTCTCCATTGTTTCAGTAAGCTTTCTTCCAACAAAGGAAGAGGATATGCTAATCGCGAATTCACCACGTTTTAACATGAAAACGCCATGTTTTTACAAACTGTCACCGCATTTTGATGGATAATACTTGCTGCCAAGCGCGTCCATGACACCCCTCCGGTTAACGAAATCCGTGATTTTTGAGCGACGTCTCTAAAAAAACCCATGTCGTCACTTCAAGTGTGTGTCAAGACAGCCTCGAAAACCCATGTCGTTCCTTCAAGTGTGTGTCAAGACAGCCTCGCATTCGAATTCCACTCCTTCCAAACCGCTCGCAAAAATCCTGACTGAGGGCCTGGCAGCGAGGAAACCTTGCTGAATACCGACATGTAACACATACTACCTGCATCTGCATCTGTGCATCACTGCAGGGAAGCCATGGTGAACACCAACCTACACCACATGAAGGGATTCGAGAAGGACAACCTGGATGGCCTGTGTAGGCACCAGGACGACGCGGACTTTTGTGGCAGGGTAGTGTTCAGCTGGGCACACGAAGTGATTGGGGTCGGATCAGTTTTGATTATGCCCAGGGGATTTCAGTTCATTTGGTTTATGTCTGGCACGGAGTGTGTGTATGCGTCATTAGCATTGGCCTATTTTGTAGGTACTTTTTGCAAGTTTGGATGACTGACCTAGAAAAAATAGGAACCTGGTACAGAATGCAGAAGTGACGGCAGTCTTCTCAAACAACCCATGTCTCCGCTGTTCATTTTGTTTGGGAATGATGCAAGAGGCAGGAGTTACATAAGCGGCTCTGTCAACGGGACATATTGTGATCAAAAGCACGCCGCTTGCCGTGCTGCTCGCGGACTGCACGCAGTGCTTGGAGTGCTTTCCATGACCACAGGCAGCTTGCGGGTGGATTTATCGCGGCAATACCCACTTACGCCTGATTGGTGGCGGATTCTCAGGTTGCTCATCTGGGGACTTCTCTCTCATCAGCATAGTCCTGGTATTGTTTGATTGGCTTCTTATCCGCATGGTATTGTATCGATTTCTGGGTGATGAATCTGCCCTCCCGCTGCTTCGCCAGTCCAGGGTTCGTGACCTCCGCCATGAGCGTGCAAGGACTACGTCATTGCCAAGTGCCCTGTGGTCTGTAGCCAGAAGTACAAACAGTAACAACAACACACACACACACACACACACACACACACACACACACACACACACACACACACACACCACACACACACACACACACACACGCACACCACGCACACGCACACGCACACACCACACACCACACCACACGCACACGCACACGCGCACACGCACACGCACACGCACACACACACACACACACACACCACACACACACACACACACACACCACACACACACCACACACACACACACACACACACACCACCATTTTACATTGCACTGTGTATCATACGGTTTATGAGTGTGGTTTCACCACTTTTTCCATACATCAATGCAATCAAGTATGTATAATGCGTATTTTGAGTGTCGAGTTCAGGACATGCGCAACAAGCTCTGATGACAAGTGCTATGAAACCAAAAGCATTCGTACAAAGCATTCGACAAAAAATTTGCTTGAAATCTGGGAGGAGTGGAACAGCAAAGACCTCATGAAAAGAATGGACGAAATGGAACCGCGTAAAGCAATGATACAGAACGGCGTGTTTTGATTAATTTGCATTTTGCCTTGCGTTTTCACAGAACAAATACAGCTCACTGCTATGATGCTCAACCCCTGGCTACTGCACCGATCATTTGGCGTTGTTCTCTTTGGGACTTCGCAGGCCGCGCTACCACGCATGGCGCAGCGACACCACGCCCGAAACTTAAGTCCGGACACGGCGAGACCAAATTCCCACCTTAAGTTCGAGTGCGGTGACAACGAACCCCCACCTTAAGATGACACGCTGTGACGCCGGGTCCACCGGGACAACCAGCCCGGGACTGCTCACCACTGATCGGATGTACAGCTACGTGTACTGGCCTTTTGAAAGACCGAAAGGGAGCTTGGAATGCTAGTGTTTGATGACCTTGGGAATTTGCAGGTACGGTACCAAGGTTGCTTGTCTGGATGGATGTTGAAAATGCGCCTTTTTGCTTTGCTTGGGTCGTGGGCTATCCTAAGTTGCCAATTGGGCCTGATTTCAGCTTGGGCCGCATGCGTAAAGAGAATTCGTTTCGCTGGTGAGACGTGCTGTAGTACCGTACTGCGAAGAGTAGTGCCCTATTCCCTCCAGAAAACTTGCTCGTTTTGGAAAGTCTGAAGACACGAGGCTTACTGGGCTCACTGGCGGCCGTGTTGGTAGCAGTTAATTTGCTATGTTAACAACGGGCAGGAGTAGTTTGTTCCTTCTGATCAGTGATCTCAAGTTGATGCTAACAGTTAAGATTGTTTTGCACCTAAACCGATGAATAAAACTGTTCTCCCACGTGGACACGCATGGTAAGGCTCTTTTATGTAGGTAGGGCACGAAGTAGGGTTGTTCTTCTCGGTCACGCTGGTTCTGGCACATCCAGGGCCCTGGCGACTTCACCGAGGAAGACCTGAAGTCGATCAGGGCTTGGGCTGTGCCCTCCAAGTTTTTCGCGCGCAAGTTCGACACGTCCGACGTCAACTCACCCGTAAGGTCGCAGGTGATTGACATGTCGGCGGCGTTCACCGCCAGTGTCCAGGATCAGTTTCCGCTACCGTTCCTCAGGTGGGTCTGAGGTCTTGGCTGGTCTGCCAGTGTGGATGGTCTGTCAGTGTGGGTCTGGTGTTCCGCCACTTTGGTGGCAGCAGGAAAGCAGGCCGACTGGTCCTGTACGCGTGGGTGCCGTATGCAATAGTGCTGGGTTGTACGAGCCACCAGGTGTGCAAACATAAAGTGAACAGTGGAGTTACGTGCTGGCACGAGCCTGGATGCGTGGCGCTAGTTAGGCTAGTGCAAGGTTTGGCGTACCATTCAGGGAAGTGTTCCACAGTTGAAGATATTAAAGTAAGCATTAGATATGACGAAGAAAGCTCACTTCTAACTATTATTATATATTGGTGTACTTGTAGGTGAAAAACTGCCTTGGACAACACAATATCTCTGTTAGTAAGTATGCTCCCCAATACGTCATTGCCTGATTACGTCATCGTGCCTTGCACAACATTGATAAAAAGCCAATTGACGGCCGTTATATTTGGAAATTGTGCTCACGAACACCATATATAAACGACTCGGTAACTGAATTTTTGTTGGCCTTGATCGTCGAACGGTCAATGGAATGGCATGATTTGAATGACATCATTGTGGGGTCAGGATACCTGGGTGACCTTGAATGGTCTCCGCGAAATAGTCTGCACATCTTCGCGGGCGTGTGGCTCAGAAACAAGAAGGACTTAGGTCTTAAGAAGGGCAGCGCAGTGAACTGCACCGAATGATCTACAAGGTTTCTCTGTTGGTTCAAAACACCGTACAAATGTGGAGCACTCCCTGTAATGGTACCGGTTTTAACTGTATTCAGCTAAGGCCAGCATTGGCTGATATTCCTAAAGTCTTGGCATTGTCAGCTCAGGTCAGACAGCTGTTGTCTTCCTGGGCAGCGCCTTAATACCGCTAGCATTATGTGGCTCATCGTCAGCTGTCGACGCTTCCTTGCCCATGCCGTGTTCCTTTTACCACAGTCAGCACTGACACGGCTTTTCAGGCGGATTGCTGAGAATGCCTTGATGCGGCTGCGCGGACGCGAGAGGGGCTTCGACGGTCCCGGCCTGCGGCTGGACTTCACACGGGTCACGGTACGTCAGGATGGTGGAGAGTAACACGCGCTCGGGTAGGAGGGCAGTTTGACCCCGAAGATTTTTCGGAATAATTTCCGAACGGCGCGGCGCAGCCGCGTCCAATTCCCGTAGCCGTAGACAATTGAACAGTGGATCGTTTGGCGTCAAATATTCAGATGCAACTTGTAAGGTCTCTGATCTAAGCAGGTTAAAGTCAGGACATGAACTCAGTTTCTAGGGAATCGTTCAGTCTAATATAACACCGGAGTGTTAGACGGAGTCATACATGTCTGATATAGTTACCTAGTTCACAAAAAGTTGAAGTACAAAGTACAAAAACCAGTTATATTGACGTAAGGTCAGGTATGAATGGCAAATCAAGAACAAAACCAACCTGTTTTGTACTCTATGCCTTGCTGTCTGGGGCACTTTTGGTGCTCATTCTAAATTTATGGAAGAAGAACCGCATAATATACTTTCCATAGAGTTGCTAAAGGTCAGAAAAGGTCATTGACCTAAAATGACCCAAGCCAGTTTTTTTCGGAGCACACTGCCTAGTGTTATCCTTGACGTTTCATCAAATACAAAAGTCAAAGCAGGCATGTATAATTTTGGTTGCCAGGACATTCGAAGGGTCAGACAAGGTCACTGACCTTCAAGGAGCACCAGTGACCTCTTACTTGGAACAGGTATCTAGGTGCACGGGGGCTGCATGAAAGGGCCTGAGGCCCTTTGAACACTAATCTGGAGTTTGACCTTGTTTTACCTTATTTGACCCGAAGGCTACAACCAGGGGGCCTCAGATTTTGACGCAATGGATCTAACGTACAGCCCAACTCATCCTATGAATTTGGTGTTTAAAGCTTTCTTATTTCTTATATCTCAGCTGTTCCAATTGGCCCCCTCCCGAGTGAACGGTATTCAATTTGCCATCCGGGCGCATGTTAACAGCCGGCAGTACGCTCCGCTCGCGCTGCCAGAGTGACCTGGCTTCGGTTGGCTGTCGAGATGTCACGGTGTTGTGACGTGGGGGGTCGTTGGCATTTCGCCGCTGGATTCCAGGCAGGCTCTATGCGAGTTGTCCCCACTCCTCATTTATTATACCGCTCTGGCCGTACAATGTGACATGAATTGGGATAGTCTTTCCTTACCAACCAAAGTTACCTTTTATCCCAGAGCTCTGGTCGTTTGATGTTGATATTAGGGCGCCCCAGAAAACACTATTTTGAAGAGTTGCTCAGTGCTAGTTGGCTTCTTTGATTTAACATGAGTCCAGTGGTGTCCTTTTTGTCAAAATTCGCACATGCATATGGGTTGAGGAAAGGGCATACAACTCGGTAGTTGCAGTTAATTTTTCTCTGTCAGTAGCAGGGCGCTTTAAAAATGGACGTATACATTCAAAACGTATATTGACTCGGGCGCTTTTATTAAAGCCCTTAGCGCTCTTTTACCACACCGATTTCATATTCTCGACCGTAACATCTGACTGGTGTGCCGATTGGCTAAAGGTGAATGCGATTGGAAGGAGTGTGGGACAGAAAAATGGCTCGCAAAAAGGAAACTTTGAGCTCTGCTCAACCCCTGGACATGCGTGAACTTTGCCAAAATTGTCACCACTGAACCGCCTAGAGTCGGAGAACTAGACTAGCCCTGAGCAATCATCCTTTTCCATCAAAGTGGCATTTCAGGACACCCTAGTGCATATGGATTGAGATGACCCTTTCATCACAAAGCACACGTTACGCAGCACCGCTCTGGTCACGTGATGTGTGCGTGCGCACTGATGGTCCGACCGGACTAACGTCATCGTGCCGCACGCCGTGCACTACGCCGCGTCGCCGGTAGCATGGACAGAGGGACGCAGGTGCCTCCGCCTCCGCAGGTGCTACCCCGCTTCGCCAGCTCCGCTCCAGGCTGCCAACCGGTTTGGCGGCTGCACAGGCATGTCGCAGAAGAGTTCGTCTTCTGGATCGACTTCTCAGTGGTAACATAGTGCACATCAAAGGGACTAGGTTCCCAATAAAATTTACCCGTAAGACTTAAATCGCACATTGACACACTTACATTGACGACCCGGCCAAAGTGTAGACGACAAGGTGTTTTCATTATATCTCAGGTTCGGGGGTTTGAAAACCTTTTTGAATATTCTAATCAGGATATATGTTTTTCATTCTTGTGAAGCGCCCTTCAAAATCACGGTGGCCTCCTTGAAGCATATTTCGGATATCATTGTGGTGCCATTGTACTCTTCTGCCAGTCTGTATGTAAACATATGTCTGTTGGCTAAATATGGGAGATACAAACACAACTATCCATTTGAGGGTGCTCGCATTTCACGATTTCATCCTGGTGTCATCTTCTTCGCGAGCCTGTCATCGGAGGCCGAGGCACGTTAGCGTCGGTCCCACCGACAGGGTGTTGACGGCGGCTCGGATGTGGAGACAGTCCGGGCTCGGGCTGCATCTGTGCCCACGATCCGCTGCTTTGACGACGGCCACCTGCTGGCCATGGCCCTGTATACGGGACACTACAGACAGGGCAACACGACATCCAGGTGAGCCTCCCTGAGCTGAGCCGATGGCCACTGTACGGGAGGGATGCATCGCCTCTGCTGGCCGCATGCCGCACGCCAGGCGCTCGGGTCACGATGCCGCACGCCAGGCGCTCGAGTCACGATGCCGCACGCCAGGCGCTCGGGTCACGATGCCGCACGCCAGGCGCTCGGGTCACGATGCCGCACGCCAGGCGCTCTGGTCACGTTACTGCTCGTGCCAAATTGCCGCCGCAGCAGACCGGCTGGCTCTTTTGTAGTAATTCGTCTCGTCGAGAGATGGCGTGTCAATCGATGGGCGCTTGCATAAACCAAATATCATTATCTGCGCATGTCTTAGCCCTTCCTCGTGGTCTTGTACGTGTGTTGCTGCTTTCTTATTTTTTCATGCATTCGCGTAGTTGGTTGTGATGCTTTTGTGAACTTATTCTATTCCAAGTCTTATTTCCGTCATAAGTAGCACCAATGCCCGAATTTCGGTATTATGTCACACAAGCGGTGACTCGTTGTCGGAACTTGCACCGAAATAATTGCATCGGTTGCTCGCCAAAAGTTCGCTGATGCCTGAGGATGTGCTGACGTACGCCAGACACAAATAACGCGACGGTCAGATTGTTCTACCTTGAGTAAAACATGACCGGTGAGCTGGCAGTATTCACACAATATTTTTATAGTGTCGTGCATGGCTTGGTGGCCCTGGAATGGTCTGCACAAATTCGTGGCGTCCAGCCCAGAAATAAAGGGTTTTAGGTCTTAAACAGGATAGGGCTGTGAACTGCCCTTAATGGTCTTAAAAGTGGCCATCTCAGCTCAAAATCCCATGTAAATTTGGAACGCTCCCTTTGACCTTGATATACCATTGCAACTGCATGATGGCGAGGCATATATAAAAACAGCGTATAAACAAAGCTATGCTCTAAAACAAGGATAGCTTGGATAGCTACCTAAATGCCAGGCCACCTCAGACTAGTGGATCTTAAACCCAGCTCGTTTTAAAGCTTTTACCCAAAAGCCGGTCCCATACAACATGTAAGCGTGCTAATGCATGTCGCACATCCAATGTATATTGCAGGAACAAGTTGTATTGTGGATTCGTATTCGGTTCCATGCCCTCCAATATGCATACTGTTTTCATTGGCGAATTTCATTTGATCGTGCTCGTTTTCGTTCTCGGTAGTATGGTGATGGCATGGACTTAAGCAGGTGCTGAAAACTCGTGCTCAGTGGCAGCACGCTGCAGCTAGTTGAAACAGAAGTCATACACATCACACAAACCATCGTCTGAAGACTACAGTTACAAAGCACACGTTTGCCTGCTAATTTGTCGATCAGTCATAGAAAGTAAACCCCAAATTTTGATCACGCTGCGATGCGAATGTGTTGTGCTTGTAACTAATCCGTTGCGTGAAAGGAGGACATGGTGATTATAATATGGCATGACGTGATACGTTATGATAATAGAATAATGCGTGATGTGATATGCCAGCCTGCTCAGCAGCACTCACGGATGCCTCTGTGTGAGTACTGGCAGTGTGGTGCAGCAAACGTGCTGACTCAGCCGGACCCTGTCCCGGCAGTACGAGACGCATTCCGTTCCCGTACATCCGGGCCGGCGCTGTCGCTGTCTCAGTGGACCTGGAGTTTGACGTGGGGCGCGCGGCTCGACCACACTGGCTGGCCGTACCTCTCGTGTCGCAGCAAGACAAGGCGGCGGCCAAGCGCCAGGCCCGGCCATTCACCATCCGCCTGCGGCTGACAGACGGTACAGGACGGGTCAGGTGAGTGACAGACGGCGGAGGACGGGTCCGGTGAGTGACAGACGGCGTAGGACGGGTCAGGTGAGTGACAGACGGCGGAGGACGGGTCCGGTGAGTGACAGACGGCGTAGGACGGGTCTGGTGAGTGACAGACGGTACAGGACGGGTCCGGTGCGTGACAGACGGCGGAGGACGGATCTGGTGAGTGACAGACGGCGTAGGACGGGTCTGGTAAGTGACAGACGGTACAGGACGGGTCCGGTGAGTGACAGACGGCGGAGGACGGATGCGGTGAGTGACAGACGGCGGCGGACAGGTCAGGTGAGTGACAGACGGCGGAGGACGGATCCGGTGAGTGACAGACGGCGGAGGACGAGTCAGGTGAGTGACAGACGGCGGAGGACGGATCCGGTGAGTGACAGACGGCAGCGGACAGGTCCCGTGAGTGACAGACGGCGGCGGACAGGTCCCGTGAGTGACAGACGGCGGCGGACAGGTCAGGTGAGTGACGGACGGCGGAGGACGGATCCGGTGAGTGACAGACGGCGGAGGACGAGTCAGGTGAGTGACAGACGGTGGCGGACGGGTCCGGTGAGTGACAGACGCCAGTGGACGGGTCAGGTGAGTGACATACGGCGGAGGACGGATCCGGTGGGTGACAGACGGCGGCGGACAGGACAGAGTCATGGTCTATCAAACCAAAGCGAATTGTGTGTGTCTGGTCTGTCTGGCGGGCTTAGCGGACAGTGAGGATTGAGTCTAGTGACTGACAAAAACGGACAGTGAGTGCTGAGTTCTGTGACTGATCGCAGCGCAGAGTGAAGGCTGAGGTCCGTGACTGACTAGACTGGATGGTGGGAGCTGGGGCTTGTCTGGCGGACCGAATTGCACAGCGCCAGATGAGGTCTGCTTAAAGGGAATATGTCTTCAAATCTCACATTTGAAGATATTGAAGCAAGGATCAGATTTGATGAAGCAAGCTCACTATAATTATTGGTATACTCAAGAAAAGACTGCTCTAGAACAGCACAATTCTCCATCTAGTAAATATGCTCCTTAATGTGTCATGGTTTGACTACGTAATCGTACCTTGCACAACATTGATTGAGAGCCAATTGAGGGCTGTTATATATACAAGTCGTGCTCATGAACGCCAGACATGAGCGCCTCGAAAATTGCATTTTCTTGGCCTTGATAGCCGTGTAGCTCATGAAATGTCAGAATTTGAATGACATTATTATGGCGTCATGAATGCCAAAGTCGCTTTGAAATACTCTCCCCATTTTCGCGAGTGTGTAGCTCAGAAACTAGAAGGGCTTAGGTCTTAAGAAGGGCAAGGTTGCGAACAGCACTGAAAGGTCTTCAGAATGGCTGTTTCAATTAAAAACCCCATGTAAAGGTGGAACATTCCGTTTAAAGGAAGTGTTGCACCTATGGGGCATATTTCATAAACATACGCTAGTGAAACCTCAGGACTAATTATGTCTAATTAGATCATTGGGTAACGTCACGGCGGCACCGTTAAGAAATAATTAGGACAGCAATTTTAATGAGTTTCAAGTCCAAATTACGCCATTAACGCTGCGTAACAGCTCTACGCTTATCCCCTGCAGTCGTGACCACCGTCGTCATGACAATGACCGTGCACACCTCTACTGGTACGACTAAAAGAACGTTTGCGGTTGGTCCAGCGAGAAAAGGCCTGTTACTGAGAGTTTGTTGGTTAAAGTTTGAATCAGTGCGTCACGTGGATCATGTGATACTCCCATTCCCAAAGACATATCTCAAACGGTCAAAGGCAATCTTTGGACGTCGCCGAAAACAGCCTGCCTACGGAAATACCACACCGAAACACTTTCAGAGAAACTGGTTACTTATTGGCAGCCACCGCAGCCACTGGTGCTTTCCCTCCGGTTTCCAAATCGTGAGCGAGATACCTAAAATAGCTGTGAGTACAATCACGGTCGTTGCAGAACGCAATTTAAGGAGATTGGTGCTGTCTAACGTCGTAAAATGCTACGAGAATTTCGCAATCCTGGACGTGCGATCAAGGCCGCCAAGATCACGTGCCTACTCAAAACGTTGAACTGTGAGATCCAGGATTAACTTACACAGTAATAGCATGAACTTTTGAGGGTCGCTATTGGAATCGTGTCGCCAGCAAGTTATCGGCGCTCCTCAATTTAGGTGCGTTCCCCGGTGGGTGGCGGAACAGCACGAGAATCGGCGTCTTGACTACCAGCATCGCCGGCCGGATCTCGACCATCGTGCGAGGTCGAGGAAGCGTGCGTGTCGGTCAGCCCGCCGGAAAGATGAGGGTGGGCGAACACTAATACGCCAGAAACACAGCTTGGCGCTAGGCGGCTCCGTACAGTCTGAAAACATGCGCTGCCAAAATCGGTCTCGAGGCCACTTATCGGCCGCTCACGGAGGGTCAAGACTTTAGGTACCCCTGGCGAGTTTGGTGAGATCTAAACACGCGGGTGGTGATATCAACACACCGTTTTCAGTACGTTTTCAGACGCCAATTCTACACGTGGTCTTCAAAGAGGCCCTTCACGTTAGCTGAAGGTTAGACTTGAAGTTGACTTCACCTCCACGCTCGAGCGTTGAATACTGCATGTTGCCAGGCATCTTCGAAACTTTATGTATTTGCTTAGAAACCAGCATATATATATATATATATATATATATATATATATATATATATCCTCGGTGACCTGCACCCTTCTCGGTGACACCTGGATTGCCATGGACTTCAAGCGATATAGGCATAGGTCACTGTCATTGCGGTGTTCAGAGCGATACCAGCGGGCTGGGGAGTGCTCGGATCGATATCATGATCACTTATGGAGGGCTCTTAGTAAACAAATGGCGCTTGTTTGCGATCACACAGCGCCAAATTGGTTTGACATGGATGTAACTGATTGCACATGCTCACATGTGTAATGCGTTGTATACATATATAGTCTACACCCCATAATCCAAATCCAGTCACATGTTCAGGCTCTTGCGTGTTTCCTGGAATTTTAAGTCGTGAACATTTGGTCTCGTACATATTAATTTATGCCATAAATTTGATAAGTAGGGGCACGTGCGCTCGAGTGCGGCTATTTGCGCTGGCCGATGTTATGTACTGAAAGTTAGAGGTTGTGGCGCCTTCCCCAGCTGAATACAAAATTATACCCCTGGGTTAGGCAGTGTTTGTGATCACTTTACCGTAGATGAAAGGACTGCGTATTTCGCCCGAAGGCGAATTCAAAACGCCATGTTAGGGACCGACGCTAACTTGTGAGCAAAAGGTCAAATGACACCCCTATTTTTATAACTCAAAGGATTTCGCTTCTTTTGTACGAGTGTTCCAAAAGAAACTCCCTTGGTAAAACTAACTCTGCTTTCTTCAAAATCCAGAGACCCTAGAGAAGCCATTTCTTGCAAGACTCTGGTCATTTTGGACGAGCACGGCCTGGTTGGCACCTTTCCTTCTGGATCCGCCCTTGATTTCGTCTCGCAGAAATCGCCAGTTGCAAGGCATCAAGCGAATTATGAGAATCGGATCAAGTGTCAAACGGACGAGATTGCAGCGGTGTCGAGAATTACTTAAGGGGGCATTTCCGTTCACTCTTATATAGCTAGAATCCTGGCCGTTTTCGTCGCTGTCAAGATCCAGTTTGAGATTTGAGACGCACATCCCAAAGCCAAAGTGCGCCGCGAAAAGAGACGCTATGGTGAACGCCATGCGGGGGGGGGGGGGGAGAAATCAAAGCTACAGAATAACGTTTCTACACAACTAATTTGGCACATTAGTGTGTTGCAAACATTACAAAACGCGCAAGTTGGAAAAAGCAGTGCAGATGAAATGTACACTTTCGTAGTGATGAACAGAGTCAAATGAAATTTTTCCCGCGTGGTCAGCTACTTCAAATCGAAATTTTGAGCTGGTCAGAAGGATTTTGAGAAAACTGGTTATACTGATCAAATCACACACGTCTGATGTAACAGTAGGTAGGAAGTACAAAAAGGTGTGAAAGTGGACGGTGAGATTTGGTGCTTGTCTGACGGACCGCAGTGGGTACTCTGGGGAGGGTCGGGTAGGAAATTTTGTCCTCGCAACCAGACATCAACTGTTCGAGGAAGAAGAACACGGCAGAAATCTATGTATTTTGACAACCATAATTTGGTTACCTCCAATTCAGTCATCCATATCTCGGTGTGTTTCAAAGGATGTATAGAGATGTTGTTATTCACTGAATGGGGTTGTAAAATCTTGATTAGGCATTCAAACTTCTCAACCAGTTTGTAGCCCATAGTGATGGGCAAGATGTGACGCAAGTTTTTTCTGAACTCTAAATAAGGGAGCTGCACTTGAGCTGACTGTTAATTGGGCCCCAACCTGTTGATCGTCAGTGGCCACCCTGTGCCCAGCACTATAAACGTTGCACCATTGTACGATCTAAAACGGCTCAACAGGACATTCGGCATGACCGACTTGGCAATGGCCCACGTGTCAGCTGTTCCCAGCGTCAGAGCATTACACTGAGCAGCTTCACCGCGAGCGAGGACCTGGGCGTCGTGTTCGGCTCGCACACGGTGCACGTCCGCTGCCAGTACGCCCTACCGGCTGGCAAGTACACGGCCCGCCTCACACAGGTGCGTGCCACGTCTGCAGCCAGCACAACGTCAGACTGTGGTTCCGTGTGCAGCAGGCAGCAAGGACAGGTGTGAACGGCCTTGCTGAAAATCATGAACGATGACTAGAGTTAATGCACAGATATTCCATTTCCGTAAAATAGTGAACAAAACTGGTGCCGTTACGGACTTGTGCAAATCACGGAACACAAAAAGAGCCGTGGTGAAACCGGATACCCAGATATCACCCAAGTTGGCAATTATTCTATTTTCGTGCGGTTGCTCCTGGCTGGCTCTTTTGCATCCAACTGGTGTTCTTACATATTTTGGTTTTGCTAGTAGTCAGTCAATACTGGTGATCTTGACCTCGATGATTCGTGATGATTTGAGGTGGTTTAAGAGCACTGAGCCCTGAACTGAACCAGTAGCTCTGCGCCTTAACGTTCCTCTGTTGTACACAGGAGGACGCTGGTCGGCCATTTGAATATACTCTGCCGTTCTATGTCATACCAGAAGAGAACTATGACAAGTATCCATACATTGACGACCTGTGGCACGTTGAGAACGCTGCTTTTCTGCCTCTGGTGGACTACTACAGGTAGGGGCATTTCTAGAATTTAGTAGACGCGATGTTCGCTGCCCATCAAGCGCAAACAATCGGCAAATCATAGTCCAAGGGCTCGGGGACAAGTACAAAACCCGTTTCACAACTGCAGTGCTTCACACCCTTGGCATCAAGTGCACTACACTGCACTGCATTTGCACTATTTTATAACTGTACTGCACTGCCTTATAATTACATCGGAAAGGCGTGCCGTGCAGTCTCTTATCACTGAGAGTCAGCGCTTGTGTTCGTGACGACGGCACAAGAGGAGCGTTTGCGATCAGCTGCCGTGGTCAACTGGTGTATGTTTGATGTGATATGATTTGCATGTAGGTATGCGTGATTCGGTATGTGTGTGCTGGACTCCTTTCGAGAAAAGTCCGGTTGTGACGGTGTTTGGCTTGGTCATTGATGACGCGGTGTTCCTCAGCTACACTGCGAACGACGATCTACAATTTCGAGTCCCAGCATCACGAACGACGGTCAAGTATCTGACAACGCCCGAGAAATCAACACCCAGCCAGGACAGCACATTTGCGTTCTCTGCATCGAGAGACCAGGAAACTGGAATTACCGGAGATGATTACCTGGAACACGCGGCAGATGCTGCACCAGAGGCGCCAGTCATCTACCACGCATTGCTTTGCTCCAGGTGGGTGCTGTCGAAGCCGTTGACCGCCTCGAAACACTGATAATAGGGACGCCAGATACACAATGTTGCTCTGGTGGCATGACGTTATGCGACAACAATGGGCTGCGCCGAGACCTGCTGAGATGGCACCACCCCACATCATAATTGTTCGGAATGTGCTTTGGATGTGGCCAGTCTTCGCCATCCGTAAACCGTTTTCTGCTGAACGAATACACGTTTGTGGTCTTTTAATGGAATTCAACTCTTTTGAACCGGCCCGCTCCACCCTCCGTCCCAGCTGCTTTCAGGGCATGCCGCCTAGCCAAACCCCAGCTGCAGGCAGCTGGAGAGTGCGTCCACCCGCGGTCCCAAGCTGCCGCCAGGGCATGCCGCCCAGCCAAACCCCAGCTGCTGGTAGCTGGAGAGTGCGTCCACCCGTGGTCCCAAGCTGCCGCCAGGGCATGTCACCTAGTCAAACCCCAGCTGTTGGTAGCTGGAGAGTGCGTCCACCCGCGGTCCCAGCTGTTATCAGGGCATGCCGTCCAACTAAACCCCAGCTGCTGGCAGCTGGAGAGTGTGTCCACCCGCGGTCCCAGCTGTTGCCAGAGCATGCTGTCCAGCTAAACCCCAGCTGCTGGCAGCTGGAGAGTGCGTCCACCCGCGGTCCCAGCTGTTGCCAGGGCATGCCGTCCAGCCAAACCCCAGCTGCTGGTAGCTGGAGAGTGCGTCCACCCGTGGTCCCAAGCCGCCGCCAGGGCATGCCACCTAGTCAAACCCCAGCTGCTGGTAGCTGGAGAGTGCGTCCACCCGCGGTCCCAGCTGTTGCCAGGGCATGCCGTCCAGCTAAACCCCAGCTGCTGGTAGCTGGAGAGTGCGTCCACCCGTGGTCCCAAGCTGCCGCCAGGGCATGCCGCGTAGCCAAACCCCAGCTGCTGGTAGCTGGAGAGTGCGTCCACCCGCAGTCCCAGCTGCTGCCAGGCTGTCCACTCCCGTCCACGCGCCTCACGTCCCAGTCCGTACCGGATGGGCTGCTCCAAGCGACTGCCCAGTCACCGGGCACACGCGGTCCGTGCCGGCGCCACACTCGTGTCACCTTGGTGCTATATAACTGAGCGGGTGCTGGTGTTGTCCATAAATGATTATCACTTGTGACACTTATTTGGGTTTTCCGTGGCTGATATGTGGCCGGATATCATCAGTGGAAATAGGCCAAGGCCCAGGATTCTCTCAAGATTAAAAGCAGTATGTGTCGTACGACTGCTTAGCAAATGATAACATAATACATTATCAGACTTTTTAAAGTAAAATAGTTGTAGTTCCGAAACTCACGAATTGCACTAAAAGTACAACAGCCACATCAAAGCAGCCTCACTAGGTAATCAAACCACGTAGTTGTAAGCTCATCGTGGCCTGAAAATGTATAAATTTCTAAGTGAAAAGATGTTTGATATTAGTAAGAAAAGGAAAAAAGAGGGAAAAAGTTAATCGACAAACTTAGCGTACCGAACGGCGTAACTAACAACAGTATTTCTACAATTGACATAAATATGAGCGTTGTCTGAAGAAAGTTTCTTCCCCTAAGCAATTCCAAATAATTAGCGATAGGTAGCACGCTCCCGGTTGGGGTCAATTTGACGTCTCTAGGTTTTTTTAGATTAACTTCCAAACGGCGCGTGTATTCGCGCCAATTTTTGCGTAACCGTAGGCCATTGCATAGCGGATTTTTTGGTACGCGCAATTTGATGTGCCCTACAAGGCCACTGATCCATGGCAGGTCAAAGTCAAGTCAAGGCTGATAGCAAAGGCAATTTATAAGGAATCGTTTAATCTGATACGATAGCGGAGTGTTAGACGACATCATACTTCTCCGATATACTTTTTTAGGGAGTAAAACAGCTCGATATAGTATCACGACAACTTCCACTGACTTAAGGGCAAGTATGAGGCCCCTATCGAGGCCTGACCTTTATCTGACCACTTTGTTTTTGCCCCTTGGGATCTTGCTGAATGGGGGAGTTTCTGGTGTTCATTTCGAGATTATTAACAACAGGGACCGTAAAAGGCATCTTTTAGGGTTAGAGTAGGTCGCTGACTTAAAATGACCTCCGTCAACATTTTGTCTTCGGGGACATACCGCCTAAATTAATCCTTTGCGCTGATTCAGACTTCAAAATCAAAGCAATCTCGTAAGATTTCTATCACCATGCCCTCCTTTAGGTCAAACAAGGTCACTGGCCTTAAATCGACATCAGTGATCTTCCGTGTTTGACCTCTTAATGTCTGATATATCAGGGGGTCAAATCGCCCCCCCCCCCCCACCCACACCCTAGCGAAGGGTATTCAACCGTTCACCCGGGCAAGTATGAAATATCGATGGAAGGAGAAGAGCAATGCCAAATAGATGGAAGAGGCTATCACTCACCCTTAGCTCCGTGCGACGTTATATTGCAATTTTTTTGCACCGCCAGAAATAAGAATGTTTATCTCAATGCCGCACGTCCTGGTGCCGAGAAACCGCTGCCTGATATTACCTGTTTCGGACAGAAAAACTTGCCCCACAAGACACATTTATAGTCAAATGATGTTCTGTTCTTGCCCCCATGAGAAATCTCTGCGCTGAGCTGGCTGCTGCTGTGATGTTGCCGAGTGTTTCACAGACAGCTGCTGTCGTGACGGTGCCGTGCTGTCCTCAGCCGGTCGCTGCCGTGGCGTTAGCTGTTTTCCGCAGCTTGACACTGCCGCCACCACCGCACTGTCCGTACCCGGCCGCTGTAGTGATGGTAGCGCGCTGTCTGCAGCTGGCCGCTGTCCCGTCCTCTGGCTGCTACGGCAGTCGTCATGGTGCTCGCGCTGCTCCTCTGCCTCGGAGCCCCGGCCCGGCTGAGGCGCCGCCACCGCGTGCTCACGCTGTGGACGCCGCCGACGGCCAGCCTCCTCTACTTCGTGCTGCGCGGCCTGGACCTGATGTGGTGCGATAGTGGCGTCACCTTTGACGCCCACCGGTCGTGACAAACCCTTTGAATAGACGAGCGTGCGCCTCGTACTCGAGCGGGGCGCAGAACGCATGCTGTGTTTTTGACCGCGATGACTTTGTTGAATTGAGCGCGCTCAGCATGCCAGGAAAGGTCTGTTTTATTAGTGAAATGGGATGTCTCGCGTTTTATCTGTGTAACAGAACCGACCATGAGCGTTTGAATTCCCCACCCGTTCCCCTCTAGCATACTTGTGCGGGTCTGAACCTTCGGGAGTAGTAAATTAACTACTGCTCAAAACCGGTCACATGCGATTGGCGTATAATAAATAATAAAAGTTGCAACCGGCGTACAAACCGATTAGTCAAGCTCCGGCCACAGAACAGTGCGGTATTCTTGCTACTGGACTAACGTCAAAGGCTGCGACGTCTAACCGTACTTGTGAAGAAATCCTGCGGTGAGACGTTTTTCGGCATTAAGCTACCGTTCAAAAGAAAAACAGATCTGAGCTCCACCCTCAGTTATTAAGCTGTTTATATTTTTCGATGCAGCCCGAAAAACTGCATCCTGTGGTGTAAAGCTAAAAAATTGGCAAAATTTACGTTCAAAATATTGCAAATTTATTTCCTGAAGCACGTAAGCATTAAGTTGCCGAAACAAGTTAATGTTAAAAAGTGAAGAAGTTTATGTTAAGTAGATTTAAATATGCTGCTACATTGACAAAATAAGTTTACAGCAGCGACAGATGTCAAAATAGACAAGCTAGTATTAAGACACTCAGCAGCTTGATCACCTGATGCTTCATCACAATAGCTGCACACGTATTTCACATGATGATAACCCAATTATTTGCGCTCACATTCACGCGCATCAGTCGTTTCCGATGCAATGTAAAAATTAACGGTGCCGCTGGTCGAAGAGTTCAAGAAACATTACTTGAGAGTGCGTGTTGCTTACAATACAGCCAGTGAATCTGGCAAGCACTCTAGGAGAGGCTGGTGTCTGTCGATGCATGCTGAATCTCTCAGTTATGTTTGTTTGGTCGAGTTTTATTCGTTTTTAGTTGACACTACCGCATTTAGACTGCGCTCGCGCATGCGTCACAAATGGCTACGTTCGGCGCGGTAGCCCCACGGAGTGCGGCTGCGCAGCGCCGCCGACTCGACCTGGCGCCGCTGGCAGGTCACGCCGCGTGCCCGCCGTTGCGGTCTCCGCTGCGCCGCGTCGCACCCCCTGAAGCGCGCTCCTCGCACTGCCAACACGGGCCTGAGGAACCGCAGCGGTGCAAATGCCGGTGGTCGTGCCCCGACCAGTCGCAGACGAACCGGCCAGGATGGGCCAGCAGTGAGGTGCGGCAGGTCTCCCCGGCATGCGTTATTCGCTGCGGAACTGCCCTGGCCTTGATTTGATCCTGCTCTTTATCTGAACTGGCACTAGTGGGCTCTACCTCCTGAAAACACCGCCCTATTTGTCTAAGCACACTGGGCAAGGCAGACCCAGTGTTTTGTAACGCCCGGCACTCTCGGCCTTTTTATCGGCCTGCAATGCGATCTTTTCCAGCAACAAACTAGGAAGCATTGTATTGTAATATCTTAAGGGCGTGCAATCATTGGACGGCCAGATGATTGCTACACACGCCCTCATCCGCGAGGTCAATTTTCTTGCGATGCGCCCGCTGGACGACTGATACTGCTGCTAGCCGGGCCATCAGGTGTACGGGCGGCGCGCGCTGGGGGCCGCACCTGTGTGGCCTCCTCTCAGCGGGCGCCCGTCAGCCGTCGCTGCTCACTGCTCACCGCACGCATCGATCGCCCGGCATGCGCCGATGCGGCAAGCCGTCAAAGCCCCGCCAGAGCCACCGTGCGACGTCCATCTCGCCCGTTAGCTGGAGGAAACCAGCAGGGGCGGCGCCAGCGCTGGGCGCCCGAGGGAAAACCACGTCAGACCTCGCCGTGCACTGTCAGAGAGCTAACATTAAATTCCCACGAAAATTTCGGGATACATCCCCGACCTCCTCCTCTTCCCATGCCTGTACTGCGGCAGTGCCATGTCGCATTCCGGGGGACACATCAGTGGGGTCAAAAACCGTTGAAACAAAAGGATGATCACTGCCACCAGGAAACACAAGGTCGACGGGTTACACGGTCACCAGCGTTCACCAGTGACGCTCCTTCAAACGATGTGCCACCGCAGCGGTGAAAAGGTGCTTTTCACGTCACCGACGAAGCTTGGAACCGCCTAATTTGTCACCTGGAGCCAAACATGTAAAAAAACGTTGTAATATAACCGTAAATGCGGAAACCACAAAACGGTGACAAATTAAATGCAATACGGCATGACTATCAAACAACTTCGTAGCTGGAGTTTATTTGTACCAAACTATCATTTTTTAGCCATCAAACGCTGAATGTTGGTTGAAGATTAACTGATAAAATTATCAAAGACATATTTGACATAACCAACCTAGGGGCTTGCAGTTTCCTATGCAATTGGTGGTGATGGGGTGGGGGGGGGGGGGATTTTGCCTCCTAACCGGGGATATAGTTGCCTATGTTTAGTTATCATCTTTCTTCATTATCTTAAGATAATTCTAATTTTGATAGAGCTCAGCCTCCCAAAATTATTTTGAGACACTACGCTCCTGTTCCCAAATGTATAAAAGGATCTCGAATCTGGGGAAAACAGTCCTAAGTGCATTTCGGAGCAAGGCTCAACCATTTTCATTCTGCACCGGACCCCCTCTTTCCTCCACCCCTACGTAGTTTGCAAAACTGCAGGCATACCCGTAGCCCTACATTTACCGATGACATGGTTCTGCGAGCAGCTCAGAAAAATATCCCTTTTGGTTTTGTGGCGTCATCGCACAATCAGCTGGAAGCGTTGGCGACTTTCAGTATCCTCATAATTATTGCCAGTGCAGGCTTCGCACTTCCTAACATGATCCCAACTGTTCAGAGCAAAACCAATGCAATACTGGAATCAACAAATGCAAATAACATTTTTGAACACGTCTATCACCTTTAGCTTCATATGCAATATGATAACAATTAAAGGCATTCTATCTCACGCCTGTCCACCGATCAGTACGCTAAATCTGAAGTGCGACGTGCAATGTGAGAGGCTTACACCAGCGGTGCTCGGTCTCCTACCTTACACCCGCTGTTCCTCTCAGCAGCAGGAAGCCCCGGGTGAATCCTTGACATGTGCCGCTCCAACGTCCTCCGTTTACCTCTAAAGCTACAGGTCAGGTACTCAGAAACACAATCCTCCTAGTCCGGCAGGGCTTTTTAACGCAATTGCCTTAAAAAACGACGATTAACTACGTTTTCCTACCCAGTCAGCTTCTCACATGTCGACAACCAACAGCAGCTCACAGCCTTGCACTGAACCCAGCATATTACCGCTTGGCAAGCACATGAGCTCGTCTGTCTCAAGTCGCACGCCGCTTTAAAAACGTTGGGCGGGAAAGTGATCAGGTTCGTCGCAAGATGCTGTGGCCAACCGCGATCTTACTACTAGTAATAAGTCTAGTTATTTGATATTTTGTGTTGTTTAGTATGTGAAGTGAATCTTGACTGAAAAATCTGTGACAAGCGCTAATCTGAAGGGCATTACAAAAGCATTGTGTCACCCCTTATCTGTGACGTCAGCACTGCAATGGTATAGTTTGTAGTATGCTTCTGTCACATGCTAAGAACTATCATGATTAGAGCTACTATGTTTGTGCAATATCCCATGGCTCAACTTGCTCGTTCAACGAAACGTCAAAGTTTCCACACGTGCTCTGCACATGCTCACGCTGCAAGCATTAGCGAGTACCAACGAATACAAAGCTTTGAATTTCGTTTAGCGCGTATGGTCTGCTGTGATATGGTCCGGTCTGTTGAAATTTGTTTTTCCTTTTGTCATTTTTTCACCAATGGCCTAAAAAAGTGTCAGCCTTCTCACCGATCATATTCGGTAAGTCAGAAGCTTCTGATACCCATGGGTCACCGTGGGTCTGACGGATATATCAAGCATTTTACATTTCATGTTAACTGTTCAACGATATGTTACGCTATCGTTTTGATTTCTCCCCTAGGGCGTTTACCACAGCGGTTCTCTACGGAGCGCGCTTTGGATTTGGGAAATGGAGCGTCACATGGTCCGTAATGACGGGCTGGTTTAAACTTCAACCAATGCGCTTCTCAGTGACTGGCCCTTGCCGTCCGCTGTGCCAATTGCATACGTTCATTTTTTACTGACCCAGCGATAACAGTGGAGATGCCACTTTTAAGTCGGTGTGCCCGCAATGCGCTGGTTAAAACAGCCCAAAATGCTGCCCCGTAACCACTAGCAACTGCCCTCAGCAAATTCTGTGGTCAAGATGACGGCGGTTGTCATGACGACAGCGGTCGCGACAACTGCAATTATCGCGGACTCGGGATACACTCTGGCTTTAGGAATGGGAATGGGAGTACTCAGTTCAGCTGTGGGAATGGGAGTATCTGTATTCGGTGGTCACAGCTCGGCTGGACCACCTCACAGCGGCGAACTGCCGCACGCAACGCCGACAGGGAGACTCTCCCCACGCACCCCGAGCAGCACCTCTTATACTCCTTCCAAGACTCATGCCCGCAACACGATCTGCGTGCGACTGGCCAGCGCCACCGTGACGCACCCCTGTCGGCGTGCCTACGGGGTAACACGCCGCCCCGAGCCGTGACTGTTCTCCTCACTCAGACATGAATCATCGCCCCACTCGGCTTATATGCTGACACACTGTCCAGGGGCATGGCCTACCGCTACAGTATCACATGATCTATGTGACGCACTTGTTCAAACTTCAGCCAGCTTCCCGGTAACAGACCCCTGCCTACTGAGCAAATAACAGACGCTCTTTTATCACCCTTGTTGCTATGAGCACGGTCGTTGTCATGACGACGGTGTTCGCGACTGCAGGGATAAGCGTAGCGCTGTTACAAACCGCTGACAGCGCAATTCGGACTAGAGAATTATTACAATTCATGTCGTTACATGACGACGGTGTGGCAGAAGCACCAATCAGTGTCACGACTACATTTGATGGTCCTGACGTTTCAAAGGAGTTTTTTGTTGTTGAAATATCTGCCATGCAAAGGCAAAAAGGCTGAAGTGATGGCTCATAGACCTTTTCGCCTTTGGACGGCAGATCTGCCTTAAAGGTGAGGCACCCCGTTTAAAGAACATTCACCTTAAAACATGTCTTTCACGCACACCTGTTCCATCGTTTCCGCAGTTTTTTTAATTGCCAGGTCTTATGTGACACCGGTAAGGGGTCGCTCCATCCTCAATTCGGACACACTCTTCGCCGGCTGCGAGGCAATGAAAGTAACAGTCGTCCAATACGGTACTGTGTAATAACATGAACGATGCTTCCTTGGTAGGCTAGCATATAACACTGACATCATTACAAATGGACCGCGGTATCATGTACCATATGCTGTAGGCACACACAAGCGCAATCTTTGGAACTCTTACATCACCGCTGCCTTACGGTTATTTCGTGTAAAACCGGAAGGGTTCCCACAGAACACATCCGCATCCTTCATCGACGATAACATGCAGGAGATCTATGCAGTTCGGTTTATAACATTTCACTAGGCTATAAGCGCATACTACGAATATAACTAAACGCTCCGCTACCGCATGAAAATCGCATTCAGCAACACTGATATTTGTCAGACTTTCGGTGTGTGGCATGCTCAGTACTGTGTCGATGCTCGATCGATCAAAATCGCTGGCTTGAACACGGAAAGCTAGCCACATCAGCCCTCTTGGCCATCGTCCCATACGAAGCCTCCGTGCACCGACCGCACCTGTCAACAAGCAGGAGAAAGTGTGTGTCAGGCCCCATGGCAGCAGTTACAGCCAGTTGTGTGTCGCTGAAGGAACGTCTTAAAAAGTTTGAGGGTCATGCGACAATAGAGGACCCTGTGGAAATGGTAAACTAGGAAGACACCTTTATGGGGTGGAAAGAGCAAGATGTTAACACTAGTGGCTGCTATTACCACGTAGATGATGTGAAGCGAGCAAATGGATTCAGTCACATTTGGGACCCTTCACAAATACGCCCTATTTGTGCACTGAAATAAAAGGACTTAACTGGCTGAGTAAGCCCATGGGTACCCATATGAAACTGGTAACGGCTTAGGATGGGTACGGGTTTTGGGAAAATTACAAGGCTGGGTGCGGGTATGAGTATGGATACGAGTCAAGGTGACCGTTGACGAAATGTCGGTTAAACGGCTGACGCAATGTCATGCAATGTTTATGCTTGCGCTTCTTTTGATAAAAATTGGCCGCGTCACACAGCGGGACTCACCACAGCTCAAATGTCCATTTGAGCCAATAATGTATAGCCCATTACCGGTAGCTGCCATAGGACAAGGTGGATGACGGGCAAATGACCGCTGCAATGATTGTAATCTAAGCCGTCCAACTGCGCTTGCTTTCTCTCCGAGCCCACTTAAGACCCATCACGTCAAGCTAGGTCGTTGGGGTCAAGCATGTTCTGCATTGCTATATAATGCAGATATTTGTACTACGATCATTTGACAAGCTAAATGGGAATTTTGTGGCATGTTTCAATTGAACGTAATTTGAATTATATATTTGACGCATGACAGGTCAAAGTCAAACATGTTCAAGAGGTCAAACATTTCCCCCATTTTTCATATAATAACCACCCACGTTACGACGAGATGGACATCATGGGGCGAAATAGTTCAATGGTTAGCTTGCTGGCCTCCCATGTGGGTCCTGGGTTTGATTCCCGGCTGCCCCATGGACTCCCATGTGGGTACTGGGTTTGATTCCCGGCTGCCCCATGGCCCCTGGGCGCTAATATGACCATCAAAGTCGCTGATGCTCCATAAAGGGGATGTGACGGCGTACGTCGCGTTCTCCTTAAAACGAAAAAGGGGCGAACGATATCCGGCGCATTAAGACACGCCCCTCAAGGCAATTCATATTTGGAACGATATGAGATACCCGCACCAGGTCAAGCGAGGTCATAGAGGAGTGCATAGGATTTCAATATTATCGACACGCAGATGTTACACAACAAAGAGCAAAGCTGAACAAGCGCGTTTAAGGTGTACCGGGTACATATTTCAACTGCGATCACCACTCACAGGTGATGACAGGGCAGCCCAGATGCTACACATAGGCACTAATAATCCAACGTGATGACCTTTCTTGATCTTTGGAAGGTCAGTGTTGCATGCATAAATACCTACAAGCAAATTTAGTTTAAAAATGAACCTTGATCAACGAAGCCCCCTGTACCAACCACTGGAAAAATTACGCTTGGATATGCTGACATTTTTTAAAACTTCTCTTTCTTAGAGTAACCTTGACCTAAGAAATCCACTCTAACTGGTTGTTACGCATGTCACAAAAATGTTCACGCGATGGATCATAAAAATACGTTATTGCACGTTTTTGCAAGTAAATGCACATGCATCCAGCATCATGAGCATTTTAAAATTTTTGACCTCGCTTGACCTCTGACAGCCTGACTCTACACCCTCACGCACAATCAGGCCTGACATCAATGACGTCAATAGTGATTATTTTTTAAAACGAACAAGTCACATACACTAATTGTCAATTAATGACTTGTATTGCAGATATGGCGGAAAGCCTGACTGACAAAACCTTCACAAATAAGTAATTATACACCATGACCTATTCGTAGAGAAATATTGCATCGATTTTTCTCCGCATATTCAATTTCTGTATATTTTATATTGAAAGGGGCGTTCAGAATATTCTTATTCTAAATTGAAAGGAGGGTTCAGAACATTATTAACTCAGCCACTGAAAGGTCGGCATGATATCTTAAATGGGTCCTAAGTTTCAGGAAAACCTCAAGGTAGCTCTGTCATGTCCCCTCCCCCCCCCTCGTCCGGCTAGGTTTGTTTGAACGCGCGTGACCGCCCGCACACACTGGCCCACGTTTTTTTCAAAAGTACCATTGTCCGTTCCCTGCTTCGCCAAATAAAGTTGGACTCGAGTTGTTGCGGCCCCGGTTGTGGTTCGAGATCATGGCCTTATTTCCGCTGGGGCTTTGTGAATGCCTGTCTTTTCGCAGCTTGCAACTTTGCTGTTGTGCTAAGTCAAAAGGGCCAAAGCGACATTTTTGGGGTAAATGGGGCTCTTCATGTCAACCGATGCAACTCAAGGAACTGCATTTTGTGATGTAAGGTAACACATTTGGACATATTTATGTTCGGAGCGCGACAAATTATTTTTTTCTAGGCAGCATGACATGATAACTTCGTCAAAACCCAAAAACGCCGCGCTGAAAATTCCCCTCATGGCGCTAAGCTCTTTTTATCCTTGGACGGCGGTTTTTTGTTTCCGTGTTTATGTGGGACATGAAATTGCAGAAAGGTGTAGAAAAGCCTGCCTAACCGTACAGCACTTGCGGTCTGCGGAGCCCTACAAGCAACCCGCGTAGACCACGCTTTTTAAGAAAAAAGATGCCTTATTCCTACTGAGAACTGCATGGGGTGTCTGTGGTTGCAGGGCATAAACCGGTCAAAAGACAGTGGGGAGCTTTACGGCGGCGAGAAAGAAAATGACCCGAGAGGAGCGGACGGGGAAAGAAAAAGAGAGGGTGAGAAGCGAAGAGTTGGTGTGATCCTCTGCAACAACGAGAAATTCATTCTTTTTTCATTAATCATCAATTCATCAGCAATTCACCAGACAATTTAAACTCGAATGCCATGCGCGCAGCTTACTCCAACTGATCATTAACCTCCCTTCCGCATTAACTGGTCCGAGCCGCTCCGGTCTTCACACACTCACCCCAACGACTCATTGGACTCGGCGAGCAGCTGGATGGAAGAAAAGCTCGACTTGTCATTGCGCTTGGTGGAGCCGTGGTGCGACCAGCGCTCGTCCAGCTGCGTTAGCATGTGTTTTCGCAGACGCTGGGAGGAGCGGCGTGCCCACTGGACCGAGGGCAGCACGCGGTGACAGCGACGCGTGCCGTGGTGGAGTGAGCACTCGCCGGACTCGACGCCACCCTTCTCCTGGTGGTGCCGCTTCAGCTGATGGTCCATACGGCACAGGCACAGGCCGAACGTGCACATCACGAGCGCCAGGCAAAGGAAGAGCGTGCCGGCCACGCGCGTCTGGTAGTCGTGCGGCGCGCCGGACGGCGCACGGAACGCGATCACGCTTAGTAGCGCGCCGGCCATCAGGAAGAGCGCGCCGAAGATCATCAGCGACACGTGACAGTTGCCCAGGAGCACTACGGAGAGGAGGGATATGTCGGTGGCGTCTTCGGTCGGCGTCTGCAGACGCGCTTCCAGCGAGCCGACGGCGGGTAGTGCTGCCGCGGCGGCGGCCGGCGGCGGCGGTGGAGGCGGCAACGGCGACGGCGTCGGCAACGGCAACGGCAACGGCGTCGGCGCCGACGCGGCGGCACCGGGCCCCGGTGACGCCGGCGGCATGTCCGAGCCGTGCGGCGCGCAGGGCGGCGGCGGCGGCGGCAGCGGCGGCAGCGGCGGCGGTGTCGGTGTCGGTGTCGGTGTCGGTGTCGGTGTCGATGTCGGTGTCGGTGCCCGCGTCAGTTCGATGCTGGTCCAGCTGAAGCGGCGCAGGCGGCCCTCGTCGACGCTGACGATGGGCAGCCCGTCGCCCTCCATCGCCGCCGCCGACGGCTGCCGTCGGCCCGGCCGCAAACAACTGGCGGCAAAGCGGTCAGGCGTCAGAGAGTGCCGATAGCGCGCTGACGGCCGGCGCCGGGCCGCGTCACAACAGCCGCCGGCCAGCGCCGCACAGACGGTGCGACGGCGCCGGGTCGGGCCGCCTGGCGAACAGCCGACGCGGCGGGGTGGCGCAGCCACGCACCGCACCACGGCAGCCACATCAGGCACTTGTGGACAAACCGAGCCCAGGTCTGAGTCATGGCGCCGGGGACTTCGTCTGGCGTGGCACCGAGACAACATGGGGGTATCATCACTGCATATCCCTCCGATGCAACCAATGCATTCGCATGTGGACTTTTCCTTTCTGTTGCCATGCTGTTGCTGCCATGGCTGACCTTGAGATGCCAGTGCATGACTGGAGGTGCCACGGCGCCTGTGGGAAAGCTGTTGGCGTACGCTAGATATCAGAGTACAGCAGGGCTGTGGAAAGCCATACTCTTACCACAAATGTCCGGTGTGTATAACCTAACTTTTCTTGACAGTTTTCAGTTAGCAGTTCATGAATAAAACAACGGTATATCGATATTTCGCCTCCAGGCCGATGTCGAAATGCTGTAATAAATTGATGAGCATAAATTCAAGACGTCCGCGGTTCCGATTTCATCTTTGAAACTTGTTTGAAACGATGCGACAAATTTGGACAGAACATCAGCGCTCTGGAGGTTATGCAGGTAAAGATATCCGACAACGTTTGCCAGTCATGGCCGGCAGCAATGATGCATCACTAGACATGGTGGCTTTTTGATGCATTCAATCCAACTAAAGGTGACAATTATTGGAATACAAGTACATGCAAACAAAGCATGTACATCAAATTTTGCACACTCAGCGTTAGCATGCAAAACAATTTTCGTGGTTAAAAAGGTTTTGAAATGTGGAAGAGGTATTTCAAAACTTATCAAATGTATATTCAATACTCCTTGCAGCCATACTGAAGAAATTACGTGACATCCGGTGTTTCAAGTGTACATCTATCAAAATGACTTTCATATTTTCTTATAGTACCCTCCGAGAACCTCGAATCTTTTGGCACTTTTACTCGTGCGCAGCGAATGTCGGGCATCTTTTCACTCCATGCACAATGACCCTGAATGAAAGCAACATGTCCTTCGAGGGTGAACCTCATCGTCTCCGTGAGTGCACCCCTTTACAACATTCTCGTACTCTAGCCAATGGTCAACGCTGCGAAATCGCCAACGCTCATGTGGTATAAATCAATTTGATGCGAATTATGTCGTCATATATTGTGTTCACCAAAAATGATGCGGTATGTAACATAGCACGTGCTTTTCTACAGCGCCGTGCTATACTCATACCTCACCTTGTGCTATCGCGAACATCACACACCAGCTTTAAGCACGAGGCCAAGTGGCACTGGTGAGCCATTGGCCAATATTTGAAGGCTTTTGAGAATGCAACCAAAACAAGTCATATTCACGGGAAAACCGCGGACGCGATTTTTACGCTGGGTTGCAACTACGGCGAGTAACCAGGTTTATTTAGGTCACCTTACCTGTTACTTCATTTGGCATTGACATGTAGACAGCAGAGCTATAATTTGACTGTATATAAATAAATATATAATTATATACATATATATATATATATATATATATATATATATTGTGACCTAATTTATCCAGACATCGCATGCCGGGTGAATGGCATCACACCGTTTACTACATCAAGGAGCCAGCGGGGCGCCGCTTTGGCTGAACCAACAACCGGAAGTGAAGATCGGTCCGTCTCAGTAGTGTTGAGGACGAACATCGCGCAGAGTGGCGGAAACATGCCCGGAGGCTGGCGTGGACCACGCGTGCTGTGTGCTACTGAGAAGTGGCCATCATGCAGCGTACTGATGCGCGAGATTAATGAGGGGTGCCCGTAAAACTCGGTCGGCAGTTTGGCACAATCGTCGGATAATCTCATTTTAACATAATATAGATTAGTGAGTATCTCCATGAGATACAGGTGCATCTCTGTAATCACTGCACACTTTCGATCGCCAACCTTTTTCAATCGTGAGTCGTGGACGCTACACAGCTCACAACAATGACGTCCAAATGCATAACAAACGTTCCGTCCGAACGAGGATGCTTCTTGCTCACCTTGACCTTGAAAAAATCAACAAGGTCTCACGCAAAGCGGCGTTTCGGATCCGCACGGCTGAAACAATTTCCGGTGCTGGGCTGATGCTTGAGTGGCCGGCGGGCGGCCCGCGCTAGCGGCGGTCGAGCAGCCGCGGCCCGCCCCGTCCCAGCCGCAGCGGCAGGTGACTGGCGGCGGGACTGAGTCGGATCTGCGGCGCGTTCGTTGCTGGGGCAACGGCCGCCGGCGGCGCGCAACATCCAGGCCCGTCCAGCCGGACGCAGCCGACGATCGCCGATACGTAACAGCCGACTTCCGGTCACGCGGCGCCCGATTATGACCGCGCCAGTTCCAATCGCCCTTTTTCCTGTTTGATTTGTTTAAAATTGCGCTTTCTGCGCTGCCCGCGGGTGCTAATAACGCGCGAGTCTGCAGTCCATGACGGAAGTGGCCGGTGGTGGGACAGGAATGACAAAAAGCATTCAGTCACGTTGAGGGGCTGGGGGAGGGCTGACAGCGGCGGAGAAAATCGGGGCGCACTGGTTAGAATACGGAAATTACACCCTTGGTTATATATATATGCATGTACATAATTCCAACTACACTCATGGCACCTGCTACATTAGCTGTGCTTCAAAGTTGCTAAGTGACATAACGTCTTCCGAAATGGAAAAGGGCTGCTCCGCGACAAGAGCCTCAGATTGGCCGAAATCATCGGTCCGTTGCCACACGATGGTCTGTCAGCAAGTTGTGTTCCTTACCGGTGACTTTGGTTTCTGAGGAGCCCAATAATTTACCGGGAACTCAAAATACAGGTGGACGTAAGCCTCCATAACTACATCTTAGCAATGACACGACTATGATGTGCGATGTTATGTATATATAACGTATAATATGATGATCTGTTTGAAATAATTAGGCTTGCTATTGTTGCAGCTATGTCAGCTGCTTCTGTCAACTGATAGTTTGTTAACATTTGTCCCTAGACTGTAACTTCGTGGGCATCTGGATTGAGGTTCAAAGATCAGCAAACCCAAAATTGTATCCAGACTCGTGGCGCCACCCTGGATTTGCCATGAATCTTGTTTCTGGCGCAGCCAAGCGTCTGTACCTTAAATGTGAGGATAAACGTACATTGATTTGATATAAACCAGACGGACACCATCTGCCAGGAACTTGCAAGCTTGACAGTTGAGAACAATATGAATTCAAAATGCGCAGATTCTACAAATATTCACTTTTTGTTGACATTAAGCGGAAAACACAATGGAAGTTCTTTCAGTCTGGGGCCGGGTTTGGTGCTTTCTTTCCAGCAAGCAGCCTTTGGGCTAATTGATTAAACTGAAGTTTTAGAAGCTGGGTTTTTCGGCCCCTCCTGCCCCCCCCCCCCCGTTACCGCTCCTTATTCTTGTATTTACAGGAATAGAACGTCCACCATATATGTGGCTACCACAGCACGTTTACACACAGGATCGATACGCTAATCATATGCATTTTAGTTAACGTAAAACAAAACATGAGCACTCCTTCAGAACATAGTCCTTAACCTTTCCCAAGATTCACTCAGGCAGATGCTCTTTTGTTGAGGATGCCTTTCAATGCCCAGTTCACGAAACAAGTGAATTACCAAAACTGCTGGATATCCGCAACATATCATGCGACGATATTTGCCAGCCATTCGATCATCCCTATATACGCCAACCTGACGCTCAATAAGCTCGCCCACGGGGTGGCTCAGCATTTTCGGTAAGGTGGGAGGTACACAGAGTTAACAAAGGGCCCCATCTTTGTAAAAGACCTCCCCACCTAAAAATAAAAATAAAACAAAATCATTGGATATAACCTAGTGGATTTCGGGATGCATGTTTTTCTTCGTTGTATTTCAATATTTATCTTCAATTGAAACAGAAGTCATAAGCCAACAACACATACAATTCTCTTTGCACTTCAAAGTCAAAACATCAAAGCAACCATGTGTTACATGGTTGCATAAAATAAACCGCCGGCGCTACTAATTTGGCAGTGGTTCGTTTCACGTTTTCTGAGCCGATAGCACTCAGGAGCTGCAGCGAAATGCTTCTGGGATGTACGGAGCTATGCAAACGTATGATAGTGAACGGAGGTTGTAAATCGAAATGGAGTCATAAATCTATATTGACATAGTCAGCCTGTGTCCGTCTGAGAATGACCAACCCTTCTTCAGAGTCGTGTCGGGAAAAAATGCAGGCATGCTTTTGACCACGTGCGCTCGCAAGTCTTGATACAAGTCCCCGACGCCCGGCGTTACAGTGTCCGTTGATCGCGTGAAGTCGGACTACGGTTAATACTAAATGGCGGTCGGCGGGTGGACAAAAACGATAGAGTTTTGGAAGAAGCACCGTTATACACTGTATTCAGGATGTAAATTCGTACGTTAAGAAGGTAGTCCGGGAGCATGTTCTGCCAGTGTAGTTTTTAGATCTACACGAGGAACGGATTAGCATTCACTGCCCCGTGAACCGCTGGACTTCGTGAAACTTGACAAGTGTAGGTGAATTCTTTACTTTCGTGCTGTCTCCAT